TCTCATATATCCTTTTCTATACCCACAAACGGTTAAAGGCAAGCCCTAGCAAGAGGCTTGCATATACCGTTTTCAAATCTAAACGTAGAACATAATCCCTTCGGGGAAAGTGTAATTAATAAGTTAACAGGATCAAATAGAGATGGTGATCACTGTGTCTGCCGTGAGGCAGAAAATTTTGGAGATGTAAGCACAAGTTTGAAGCATTTTCATGGTGTCAGACTAGCTAGTAGTATTTCTTATTCTTTGAGGTCTTAATACTGGGAAGCTTTCTTACAAGTCTGTGATGTTCTTAACATTTTCTAGAATCTCAGGGCTCGCTTTCTTATAGTGGAGTTTCTTATATTCAAGTTTGGAGTGTAAGTAAAACCAAGAGAAGAAAAGAATTTACAGTACTGAAGATTTCTGAACTTTTGAACTCTGAGTCCCACATCCCGCTCTCTCATCAACAAGCACGCAAATCGCAAATCAGCTCGCAATCTCGCAATTACTACCAGGTATCTACTCCTCTCCATCAAACAAGCAACAAAAAACAAAAAACAAAGATCGACCATGGCATCATCATCATCATCAACTTCTGAAGAGTACATTTGGACAGAGGCGCCGGAAGAGGCCGAGTCGTTTAGTGCTCGCCATGTGACCCTGGCAGTGATTCCGCACATTACGGGGTTCCTGTCTCTTTTGGGTTCTACATTGATTGTGGTGGACGTGTACCGCCGGCGATTCGAGACGGTCTATCATCGTCTCCTCTTGGGTTTGGCAGTTTCGGATATCATTGCCAGCATTGGCTTTTTTCTTTCGACATGGCCCATTCCGGAAGAATCCATGACATCCTGGGGGGCGATTGGGAATCTACAGACGTGTGAGTTTCAAGGCTTTTTGATTCAATTGGGATTGGCAACGCCGCTCTACAATGCCGCGTTGAGTATCTACTACGTCCTGCTGGTCCGGTTCAATTGGAAACAAGCGAGTCGCGAAATGATTCGCTTTGAACGAGTCAGCCATGGCGTCGCCGTTGTCTTGGCATTGGGGACTGCCATTGCCAGTCTCGTCTTGAATCTCTACAATGATGCCAATCTGTGGTGCTGGATTGCCCCGCATCCCATGGATTGTGTCAATAGCATCGAAAAAGATGATGGCGTGGGGACCTGCATTCGAGGCGACAATGCATGGGTCTACCGCATGGCATTTTACTTTTGTTGGCTCTGGGCCAGCTTTGTCGTTGTCACGGGGTGCATGGGAGCCATGGTGCATGCCGTCTACCAACAGTCAACCAAGATGGATCGATACCGACAAGCGGGAGAAGCACCCAACAAGGCTCGATGGGATCGAGTACAGTCCGTGGCGATCCAATCGTCGCTCTATATTCTCGCATGCATCCTCACGGCTCTCCCCGTCAGTATTGCCCGCATCTTGCAGGCCAAGTACAATTGTACCAGTACCTACTTTCCGCTCAGTATGACAACTGTCTTGTTCTTTCCAACACAAGGACTCTGGAACGCATTGATTTACTTTCGTCCTCGCGTGGGGAAATACTGGGAGGAGCAGCGGAAGAGGTCCCAACAATCGTCCTCGGCGACCATTAGCACGTCACTGGGAACGGCTTTCACCAAGTTTTTCTCGCCCATGTCCAGGAACACGAATTCCGCAGCTAGTTGCAAGGAGTCAACCACACATCATGCTTCTACATGTACTACAGAACGTCTTGGAGGATCTCCCCAAATGTCCACGGTACCCAATGCAACACCAGAAGAGACAGAGACAGCAGTAGACGCATCATCAAAGCAAACAGATGAGACCATAATATCTTCGGATCAGAATGACGACAAGGTTGCCCCGGAAGTCGTTGAACATCGCCGCAACGATTCACCAATACAGTAGTGCCATGAAATAGACTCGAGTCGAGTCGACTTGTGGGGAGGCAGGACCTTAATGGTGAAGGACCACGCACCATGGTCAGTTAGCTAATGCATTGTAAACTATACATCGTACGTTACTACATTCATTCTATTGTGGGCTGCATCCATTGGTTTCCTACGTATGCTTTTGTTCCATATCACAAACTAGCTAGACGTTCCCGCAATGATCCCATTGATGACTCGACTCAAATGGCTGGACCTTCATGATTGCCTAGCTAGCAAGCATAGTAGCTGCGGCCAGGGACAGGGGGGTATTGAGGAACTCCCATCTGAATGGATGGGCAGCTTTCAACGTAACCTACATTTCGCTATGATGCTACGGTGCGGTACGAAACGACCCCATCAAAAGTATGTGCCCCTCTTGATCGACAAGGACCAGCATGTTCAAGAGGAATTGAATCGAATCCAAGCCAATCGGCTGATTCACCGACTCACTCCAGCGGCAAAACGATTGTTTTGGCCAAGGGTGTAACTCGCAGTCGTTCAAGCTCGTTAGATGCCACACTTATTCTTGTCTCACATCTTTTCAGTTTCTTTATATCCACGGTCGAAGAAGACACAGCTCGACGGAGCCACCTTGCTCGTACTTTGCAGTTTACTGATAGTCGCATGTGCATTCCATTCGAGCTCGTTCCTTTCTTCTTCAGGATTCCTACCACAAATCGCAGATCTATGTATACTACTCCGCCCTTGTCCGGCAATCCGTACATGATAACAGTACACCCCAAGCAGCATGGAAGAACTACCAGCAATCCATTCGGCGAGCCTCGGCGTGTGTCTCTTGAGTTTATTGCACAATCTCAGCCGCGAGAGGCACTTTTTCACCGAGCTATCATCAGCATCATCGCCATCTCATCTAGAGCTTTGCCACCGTAGTTACAAATGCGTTTCAACACAAAAGCATCAATGAAAAACAAATCGCAAACCAGCTGGATCAGTTCCTCAGGTGGAAGTCGAAGTTTCGCCAGATACCGCCACTCCAAATGGCAGAGATGATTGTAGATTGTCAGGTCTTCCGGATCAAGCCTCTCCACGGTATACTTGAGACAATCAGAGGAGCATCATTCACACTTACTTCTTGGCTGATGTAAAAAGTCACATTCAACACGATTTTGGAAAAGCTTGACATCCTTCGGAAATCCTTCTTTCGATAAATCTCGGACGGGCATTCAAGAACAGTGCGCAGAGGTGGCTCTGAAGCCTGAAGATGTTGGTTTCTCAGGAGTGGCTGTAATGCTTGATGGCGATGTATGCGTTGCATCATGTCATATCTCCGTAGTTGTGACGAACGCAATGTCATGGTCCTGGGTGATTTCTTCACAGGAAACAGCAGGGTCTTCCGGTAGAGCGCTTGGGCAATCCAACATGTATTGTCCATCTCGACCGCAGATCAAGGCACCACCTGGGAGAGTCAGAGCCAGGGCTAGCTAGAGCTAGGGCTAGAGCCAGGGCTAGAGCCAGGGCCAGAGTTGGCGTCATCAGGAAGGTTGCTTCGAGGATATGGGGACCGCGCTGCACTCCCAAGGCGAAGCGAAGGCAAGCGCCGACTTGAATGACGAGGAAGTCCCATCACACGACAAGCGGCCCCGCAAACGCAAGGATCCGAAGTAGTTGAACGACATGAAGCGGACCGAGGATGAGGCTGCCCCGAAGCAACCGAGAGAAACGATTTACGCCTTAAGCCATCCAGAAGGTGGTTGGCGTTTGGGAGGCGAACTGTTTGCTAGTTTGAGGCAGGCAATTTCGAAGCAACGAGATTGCTTCCTTCCCCGTTTTTCACTCCCACCACTTGGAGCTACGCTCGTCTGGGTCGCAAGTTGCCGAAGTGAAGCGAAGTTGCTTTCCAGCTCCGGGTCTGCAAAAGGATTCGAATTGGTTCAACGAGTTCTGCTGAGTTTGCCAACGGAGGTTTCAAAGTACGACTGTAGAGGTTCAGTACGGAGGCCTACATGAACAGCAACAACAACGTTCACAAGCACTAGAGCCTAAGTCGGTGCGGGACCTCTCCTTGCTTGCCATGTTCACTCGGGGCTCGGGGCGCCTCGTAACAAACCACCAAAACTAACTGACTCCTTGCCAGGACTGCCCAAACTGGGTGTCGATGCTACGGTTTGGCCCCACCGAAAATGGAACATCGGGCCTTCGCCAGCGAGATAGCCATGAGTGGAACGGACCCTGGATGAACGGTGTGAATGACCCGGAGGCGAAGGAAACTGGCAGTCATTGGGAAAGTAGCTGGCTAGCTAGCAGCTGGAAGCTAGTGGATCATCCAGCAGCGACCGATGTTGTGCAAGAAGCGGAAGGAATCTTCGAAACGGCATGGGCGTTAGTCTCTGCCAGATGTGCGGCACATTAACTAGCCGCAACATGTACAATAGCGGTGCGAGAGCTACTCCCGTACTCCCGTACTTACAGGTACACTGTACTACATACCGGTACATGTAGTAGACCTGCTGCCGTGACTGTCACTCGAGCGAGGACTTTTGCCGAAGGGGAGCCGAGAGAAGTGCCCCGTCATCGGTCGAAAGCATTCTGAACTTTGAATCACACAGGTGAATCTTGGTTGTCTTTCACGACCTTGCAAGGTTGCACTTCGCTTCGAGATATATGCAAGCTACTAGCTGCATGACTGTTTACATCGGACAACCTTTTACATGCCTGGATGAAAAGGCCAGGATTCAGTAAATAAATAATTTTTTGAAAGTTTCAAAACTGCATGGGTAAACACTTAAGAAGTGGGGTATTAAATTGGTTTATTGCAATTAAAATTTCTCCAAGCCCCTAAAAATATACCATTTACGTAAATGGTCTTCGGGCTGGTAGCAAGTCTGAACCCGCCGTTGCCCAGACCTCTCGATGGCGACTCGACTCGACTCGACTCGACTCGACTCTGCATACCGAGCTGCATGCCGCATGCCGCATGCCGCAAGCTGTGACCGTTACCAGGCTCCCGAGGAGAGTGCTCTACTAGTACTTTGTAATGTTGACGCTACTCGAGTACCAGTTTTCAGAACCGCAAAAGCTGTCTCACTTTGGGATAATGACCGAGAAGAGTCTGACCGCTGAGAAGGCATTCTCTAAACAAGACATGTAAAATAACTCCACGGTTAAGAGGTTCTAAATAGTTTGTCTCGAGGGGACTTGAAATTTTGTCAACAAGAGTTGTCCAACCTTCAAAATCTACATGTACTAGTAGATGACTTCACAGTTAATCCGCAAGAATCCAAAAGAATTCTATTCTAATAGTTCATCATAACAATGACCAGTCTCCAGGTACGGTTTCAACTTATTTACAAAACTAATTTTTGTTGAGCTCTGTGTGTAGTGCTGGGGGTATTTAATGCTTCTTACAGCAGACCTGCAAGAGGAGTCGTAATCATCACCAAGCACAGTCTTCTTTTGTGTTGGCGATACGAGCCTGCCCTTCGGTTGAGCGTCTATCTTAGCTCAAGATAAAAGAACGTTGCCCCTACTCAAGTATGATAGTTAAGAGAGATAAAATGCATGTACGGTACCTTCGTACCTACTTACTCATGTGGCTCAGTAGTCTACCTTATGGAACAGTCCACACGTCCACACTGGTTATCGTGTTGGTGGGTCTGCCAACCTACCTGGCCAAAATTAGAGGGGTGAATGACCCCCTTTGCAAACCTGGATGGCCAAACTTAGGTAGTCGAGAGACTCTTTGGTGGCACAATCTCGCCAAAGTTAATCATAAGAGGTATCCGCGGTATCTCTCTCCCTCATCTCCCCGAATCCTAAATAAGAGGGGGTCATTCATTCAAGAACGGTTTTCTTTTTGGTCTGAGCATTTACAAATTTGGGCTGGCTTCCTCTGTCACATAATTTTAGTTCAACGTAGACAGTCGCCTGCCTGCCATCCTCCAAGCCAAACCACTCACAGAAGGCTGAACCGATCTGACCGAAATCCAGCACAGAGCACCGCGGAATCCTAATCCAACAACTCATACAGACAGGACACAGCACCAGACTCGACTCCAAACAGCAAAACCCAACAACCGGCTAACCCGGGTGCGAAGAAGTCTTCTTTCCTCGCCACAACTCTTTTAACACAAACATAGAGAAAGACAACGACAGAAACAAAAGACTCCAACCCACTACACCAGACACAGGCAACACAGGCAAACAGATGTGCATCGTTACTCCACCCTCTAGCCGCGGCATCGCCGATATGGAGCACCGCCATGGGTCCTCCGCTTCCAGACGACCTCTCCCAACAACTTCGGAGCAAAGCACTCCAGAGTCGTCTCCTCCACACTCCCCTTCTCAAGCCTGCAAAGGCGACGTGATCTTTGCAGAGATTCCTCCTTCTCCTCGCGAGTTCTTCGACTATGGCACCACGAAACAATTGATTCCCGACAAGGCACCAGACGACGCCACTTCATCCGCCATCTATATCTCCTATGCTGTTGCTGTCCTGGTGGGTGTTCCCTTCCTCATCTACAACAGCATCCCAGAGGAAACACTGCTGGGGAACCTTATTGTTATAGGAAGTTTCTGGGATGCTGTGCTGCGGATGTCCAGTGCAGCAATCGCCCTCATCTGTTTGTTGACTGGGGTCTACTTTGCTCCCTTGATCTTGGCACACGGCAAATGTCCCGAGAGTAGTGATGATGACTCATGGACACTTCGTCTGTCGCGATGGACTGGTGCTTCTCCCGAGAAGTCGGCTCCCTGGGCGCGTAGAATTCGGTCATTCCTGTTGTCTCCTCATGGCATGAGTTTTGTCTTGACTCTGGCGCTGGGTATTCCTCAGAACACCATCAGTTCCTATGTCATCATCTATCCTGGATGGGCATGGCACCCCTTTGCTTGGTTCTCCTACAGACCGTACCACACGACTGACTTGGCGTCTGCCGTGGAGGGTCTCTGTCTGGAACAAGATGTTCATGACATTCGTCTCCCCCGTAAAAGCTGGGCTCCTTCGCTTGGGTTTGGAACCGTTAGCAGCGATGACCGTCAACACCTTCCTCTGTGTTTGACTGAATCCCAATGGGATCTCCTCAGTGCTGGTGCCATCTCCAGCACCAACAGGCAAGATGTTCGCTCTGTTCTCAAGGGCATTCGGTATGCACAAGGCCCCAAGGCTGGCCTTGCAGTGGCTGTCTTGGCTCGAGATGTCATGGAACGCATCCAGAATCTCAGGGAAAACATGGATGCACTGCAACCGTTCTTTTCCAATTTGTCACTCGTGATCTTTGAGAATGACAGCTCGGATGGTTCTCGAGAATTCTTCAAGCAGTGGGCTGCCGAGGAAGATCTGGGGTACCAAGTCGACCTCATGGAATGTGCCGAAGCTGAGGACTGCAAGTTGGGAAAGAAACATCGAGACCATTCCAGTCACGATTTCGCACACTCATCAGCTGTTGGGGACATGGATGTCTACCGACAACGAGTGGCGGACTACATTACTGATCCTAGCAATGAATTGTACGAAGACTACAGTCATATGATTGTACTGGATATCGACATTGCTGTCTCCCTCAGTCCCTTTGGAATCCTTCACAGTTTAGGAGAACGCCCCGAGAATGCGGTTGCCTCTTCTGGACGCCAGTTATTTGCTGGTTCGTGGGGATTTGAAGCCGTGCCGTACGACTTCTCTGCTTTCCGTCCCTGGGCAACCCCAGAGAATCACCGCCTGCTGAGTCTGCACGAAAGTTATTGTGCACTAATGCCTGCGGGCGACCGATGGAGGAATGTCTGTGATGCTATGGACCCCTTGATCCAAACTGAAATGAGGCGTCTTGACCGAGCACCAGCCAGCAATGGAGACTTCTACAGAGTGGAGTCAGCTTTTAACGGAGCAGCTCTCTACCCCTTGGATCTTATCCGTGTGTCCGGAGCCACATACGATTCTGGTGAAGATGGGCAAAGATGTGAACATGTTGGTTTCAACTTGTATTTGAAGAAGCCCATGTATACCAACCGAAAGTGGGACATGCACATTGACCCCCGCAACCCGGGTGGCCCCAGCGGATGGAGAGCCTTGAACTCTGTCCACCACATTTCCAGAAATGTGTTTCTGGTGTCAGTGTTGGTAGTGACTATCACTATTTCCTATTTTCTCTTTGTGCATTCCATTGTTCTGTTGGGTATCTTCATGGTTTACCCAATCTTCGCCCCGCTGTCAGTACAAGGCAAGAGCATCCACAGAATGATTTCCTCACACCAACGCAAGCGAAGAAGAATATTTGGCGGAACAGAGGCCCAAGAAGAGACCCTTTTCAAGGCTGTGTGAGAATGGTCTTTCTCTTCCTCCACCTTCCTTTTGTACTATTCCACTGCACATTAGCCGCAATAACAACATATCTTATTTTAAAAGCTACTAGAACGACTTGATGCACTACAACCTACTGTCCTGCTTGTATCTACCGCTAGCTACTAGAGGTTAGCGGACAGCAGAAACCAAGTTTTTCTCCCAGCAGTGTGCGACATCGCAATCAACTCCCACGTTGAAAAGCTTTCCAGGACTGCCGCGCCAGCCGTTCGAGGTAATGGCGAAGCCGTCAAGGGAAAAAAGGAAACTACAAAAATGACTGGCAATCTGGTAACTGTGCCCGACTAGATGGTGGTGACAGCGGTACGTACCATACTGCACGAATAGTGCCGGCACGTACGCTGTACCTACCCCAAGCGGAATCGAATCGAATTAGCATGGTTTATTCTACTATCCCATGTTAACTTAGGAATATTCTACTATCCCATAAAGTCAACGAAACGAACCGAATGCCAAAGCACAGCTTCAAGCCCTGCGCTGGATGGACGACTGCCGCTCGACCCAGGCTCTTGGTGTGGATTCCACTGAACCTGGAAACAGCTCCCTTCTTGTGGACGAATGGAATTCCGGAAAGGTGACTCGACTCGACTCGTTACCCCAACTGCCTAGCTACCGTAGTCTAGTAGGCAGCCAACACCGCAAGAAAGTCATGCTGGGTCTCACTTTATTCAGGGATACCGGTACCTGGTAGCGATGAAATCAAGATTTTTTTCACTGCTCGAAGATTATTGGTGGGAACTGTTGTGGATCCCTCTATCATAATTGGATCTTTCAAAAGCACAAGCACATGCACCAAGAAGGTCAACAGAACTGTCTCTAAATCCAGGAAGACAACTTTGGAGGCGAGGTAGTTGCGGTAAATACAATTTTCTACTAGTATACAAAAGTGAGGAGTAAACGTTAACTTTAACCCAAAAAGTACCTCAACTACCCATCGATAACTAATGTCATGGGTGTCACCTTTAGTAACTCACCAATTCTACAGTAAGGTTAAGGAATCCAGTTGCTACACGTGTAACTCTTGGGAAGGCTCAAACGAATTGTTTAGCCCACAACAGCGTAAAGTCCTGTAGATTTCTACATGATTTGTACTAGAGTTGTCTATGAAACTTCAACTTGGCTTCAGATTTGACTCCAAGCCCCACAGCACCACGCACTACAAGTCTCCTGTCTCTTTTCCGCCCATCATTCAACATCCAATCACTGCAAGGAAATCAAAGAAGGAGAGCAGCAACAGCGGCTGTTGAAGTTTTATAGCGTCTTCCAGCAGGGAAATACACATTCGACAAAAGCTTTGTGCAATAGTCTAGCTAGTAGAAGACGTTGCTCTTTCCGTTGGTTGAGCGGTAGCATATTTTAGAACAAACCTAGAACAATCTACAACAATGGGGTTCTTTCGGCCATCCTTGTTGCTGGCTGCAGCATGCTTGGTGTCAGGAGTGAGTGTGACATTAGAGATCCAAGGTGGATCAATATCTTTTGTGTCATTCTGATTGGTATCTAACCTGAATATCCCTGTGGTGGCTTCTTGTGATTGATTCATTAGGCGCTATCTTTTTCGGTGCTCCCATCAACCCGATCATTTTCTGTTCCCCGTTCCACCCGAGTATTGGCATCTGTAGCTGAAGACGCAAGTGCAGCAGCAGCCGCTGAAGAGCGTGCCCGTGCCGTCATGGAGGCAGAAGCTGCAGCGGATAATATGGACGATATTGGCTTTAAAGATAACAAACTCATGGATGTTGGTGGTCGTCCCTTCCCTCTTTCGATGATTGTTGGGCAAGACGCCATCAAACAAGCCTTGTTGTTGTCATCTGTAAATCACCGAATGGCAGGCGTTGTCATTTCTGGAGGAAAGGGAACAGCCAAATCTGTCATGGCCCGAGCTTTGCATCAGTTGTTGCCTCCCATTGAAGTTATCAAGGGATCCCCATTCAACATTGATCCTGCTGGTGAATATGGAATTGATGATTTTACAAAGACTTCGCTTTCCGGTGGAGGTATTCCCTTGGAAGAAAGGGAAACTGAAATTATCCCGTGTCCCTTTGTCCAAGTCCCACTCAATGTCATGGAAGACAGGCTCATTGGTAGTGCCGATCTGGAGGAAAGTGTCAAGACAGGAAAGACCGTTTTCTCACCCGGTCTTCTCGCCAAAGCTCATCGTGGTGTTCTTTATATTGATGATATCAATCTTCTCGATGAAGAAACTGCCAATATTCTTCTTGGAGTTGTCACGGAGGGATCTGTGACTGTGGAACGTGAGGGACTTTCCCTGAGGTACCCATGCAAACCTCTGCTCATTGCGACTTTCAATCCCGACGAAGGTGAATTGCGCGACCATCTTCTTGACCGTATTGCAGTTGCTCTCTCTGCTAATGCTCAGCCTCTGGACATCAGCCAGCGTGTGGAAGCTGTCAGTAGCGTCCTTGACTTTGCTAGCTCGGGAGCCCAAAAGTCGGAAGAAGCGGAGAAAACCCTGAAAGCAGCTATTGAGAACGAAGACGACCTCAAAACAGCAATTGTCTTTGCTCGAGAGTACATTAAGGAGTTGACTCTGGCCCCATCGCAAGTTCAGTACCTTTGTGAAGAAGCCATTCGCGCTGGATGCCAGGGACACCGTGCCGAGATTTATGCCGTAGAAGTTGCAAGGGCCAGTGCTGCTCTGGAAGGTCGTCAGGTCACCAGCGAGGATCTCAAGTTGGCCGTCAAGCTCGCCATTGCTCCCCGCGGAACCTTCATCAATACCCCCATGGACGAAGATGAGATGATGCCCCCTCCACCACCACCCCCACCGCCGCCGCAAATGGACGACCAGAACCAAGACCAGGATCAGGACCAAGAGGACGAAGACGAAGAAGACCAGCAGGAACCCGATGAAGAAGAAGATGACGACACTCCAGACGAAGCTCCAGATGTGCCCGAGGTACCTCAAGAATTCATGTTTGACGTCGATGCCACACCAATGGACCCTGATTTGATTGAGTTTTCAAGCCGAGAACGCAGTGGCAAGGGTGGAGGCCGAGGCCTTATCTTCTCGCAGGACCGTGGTCGTTACATTAAACCAATGCTTCCCAAGGGTAAGGTTGTCCGACTTGCCGTTGACGCCACACTCCGTGCTTCTGCCCCGTACCAAAAGTCTCGTCGTGAACGTGCTATTGGAACCAAGTACGAAGGCCGAGGAGTTCACATTGAACAAGGGGATGTTCGCACCAAAAAGATGGCCCGTAAAGCAGGATCGCTTATCATCTTCGTTGTTGATGCCTCTGGATCGATGGCACTGAACCGTATGAATGCTGCGAAGGGTGCTGCCATGAGTTTGCTGACGGAGGCTTACCAAAGCCGTGATCAAATCTCGCTAATCCCATTCCAAGGAGAAATGGCTGATGTGCTGCTGCCACCCACCAAGTCCATCACCATGGCACGAAAGCGTCTGGAACAAATGCCCTGCGGAGGAGGTTCGCCTCTTGCACACGCTCTGCAGGTAAGAGTGCACATAAACCCATTGATGCCTAGAGGCCCTTGTTGTCGTTCGCTCTAACATTTTTCCTGATCTTTTGTTGATTTTCCAAACAGAGCGCTATGCTGACGGGTGTCAACGCTCAAAAGAGTGGAGACGTTGGAAAGGTTGTGGTTGTGATGATTTCTGATGGGCGTGCCAATGTACCACTGTGCGTCTCTATGGGCGAGGAATTTGACCCTGAAGCCGACGAAGACTCCAAGGACGGAAAGCCAAGCCGAGCATACTTGAAGGAAGAAGTCTTGGCATGCGCCAAGAAGCTTGGGTCACTTCCCGGATTCAATCTGCTATGCATCGACACAGAGAACAAATTCATTTCAACTGGACTTGCAAAGGACATTGCGGACGCAGCGATGGGCAAGTACCATCAAATTGCTAAGGCCGACGGAAGTGCCATCGCCAGTGTGACAAACCAGGCATTAAATCAAATGAAGGCACAATAGGTGCATTAATTGGTAAAAGCGCTACATTTTGTCAAAGCATGGCAGCACTGCGTTTGCGGCTGCTCCGAGGGAAGGAACAAGGAAAGCATTACGATGTAGCGCAGCGGTGTCAGGAGAGATGAGATGGCCGACGTTCGCCTCCGTTTCCTCCATGGCCCTCCGCCAATACGGTATGACTGAGTGCTCAGACTTTAGCCCATGTTCCAATAGCGTGTCGCACAAATCCATCCGTCTGGCCATGGGACGAGATTCTGAACTCGGATTAGAGGCAAGCGCATCACCTCATGTGGCTGGTGTCCCATTGTGTTTACCGGTATAGTACTACATGGATACTAGCTATTCAGAATTACCTCCATCAATACTGGACAAGAGGAGACTAATGCTATGCAAAGAAGGTTTGGACTATACTTTTATGCCTCATCAGGTGTCTTGCATATCATGGAGTCCACGGCATGCACAGGCCCTTTCAATTCTTCCCACAGTGCCTTGTAGACCATTTGCTGTCTTTGTACTGCTCTCTTGCCCTCAAACTTGTCAGACACCACAATCACTGAGATATGGGAACCATTAGGGTCATCGTAGGCACCTGAAAATCATGACAAACACACCCCATAAAAGTGAGAATTATATGGAGGTCCGTCGCTGGCTGAGACTGGAAATCCCCAGCTAAAAGACAAAAGACAAAACAAAACATACCTGTTACTTCCACCTTATCAGGGCCCAAGGCATCTTCAATCTTCTGCTTGCAGACATCTACAATCGTTGTATCTGGTTCCCCAGCACTGCTCATACGAGCAACGAGGTAAGGAAACCTTGCCGCCGGACGAGTGGCTGCCAATGAGAAAGCTCTAGCCGATGCCGAGAACATGATGATGCTAAACAAAAATCGAAACAGGTTCATCGGGAAAGAAGATCAGGCAAGATGTGAGAGTCAGAGTTTGGCGATCAGCAAACAAGCTTGTGAAGCGCTGTTTGCCATTCGATGATGATCGGACTGGCCATGGACTTACATCGTCCACACGTAGCCAAAAGAGCAAATTGAGTTTGGATTCTCGAGTGAGCTCATTGACCCTTTTGTTTTTGGGAAACTGTGCGACTTACCTTGGAAGTGACGTTCTAGATCGCACACGCGCCCCTAAGAGCTCGACTGGAACATCACCACGCACCACGCACAAGGCACAAGCCACACCTGGAACATTGACGAAAAAGTCGGACGAAGCATTTAAGACTCTAGTCGTGAATGTCGGAAAGCTTCTTTAATCGTCGATGTCGGAAATAGAGGTCTTCAGACATTCCGTCATTTTTTGGACATTTCCGTCAAATACTGACATTCCGACATAATGTCGGACATTGCCTCCGACATTGACAGACATTCCGACATAATGTCGGATATTGCCTTAAATCTTCGAACAGAAACTATCTGCCAATCCCCAGTTCAGTCGTGACCAAAACGTCAAGATCGCCGGTTTTATGCCAACGGTTGACATTTTTCATTTAGCGCTGGTTGTGAATGTCGGAAGAAACTTTCTTCCAACATTCATGACTGTCTTAACAAAAATCCGACAATCCAACATTTCCGACACGCAGAGACATTCCGACAAAAACCCAACATTAAGGACTACGACATACGACTAGAATGTAAGACTATAGGGTGGGTCATTCTATTAAGCCACAATGTCAACTTTCGGACTTTTTCGTGCGCATTCCTGAGTTTTTTTGTTAGGAGGTGCCCCGGAGGTGTGCCCTAGAGGTGCAATTTTGCTGCCCCAAAGGTGCATGCCTCTGAGGTGCCCCCATGTGGTGCTTTTGCCTCCGACGTGCGCTCCCAACAGGTGCAAATTTAAACCCCAGGGGTGCATGGCCTAGAGGTGCAGATTTGTTGCCCCCGATGAGCGCCCCCCCCCGAGGTGCGATTCGATTGGTTTGCCTCCGAGGGGCACACCCTGGAGGTGCAAATGTTGCCCCGAGGTGCATGGCCTAGAGGTGCAGATTTTTGCCCCGAGGTGCTACCGTAGGTGCAGATTTTTGTCCCCCAGGAGGTGCGTCCCTCAGATGCAGATTTTTGACCCTGAGGTGTGGACCCCAGTCCAATGCTCCCCACAACCTACCGGTACTGTCGGGATAAAGTGGACAGGAATTGCATCTACAAACAACACCATCAATCTTCAACCAGATCAACTTGTCCGATAAGAGAGGATACATAATTCCAGCAACGGGCTCCACAATCATGGCTCCCCAGACACGACAACAAGTGAAGCCCAATGTTGACGATGTTGTCCAGATTTATCCGTGGCCTACCGGTACCAAAAAGAGGAGGTGAAAGAAGAAAAGTGCATCGAAAAATTGGATTTAAACCAAGAAATCGCAAAGAAGCAGACTTCTCTGGATGGGTAACATACCGGTACATGTAGAAATCGATGCTGCTGATCCTAGCTACAGTGACAGTCATAATGTAATGATCACTCCTGAGATGGAGTGAAACCAAAATCTAAGTAGCAAACGCAATGGTGGTCAAAAGATCAATTTCAGAAGTACTGTCGGGGACAGAAAGCATCTTCATTTGTTTTCGTCTTTCTTCAGATCAAGGGCGGTGGAGCAGGACACCTTCCTTTTGCTGAGTCATACTTCAATCACACCGTAACCAAGACACAACTCTGCATGCTGTAATGGCTGCCGAAAATGCATCAGCGCACTGCTTTCTTTTACAGGTAGCCTTGGTAAAATATCGTTTTAATCTAATTGTTTTATACCTGTGTTTACCCAAGCTACCATTTTAACACGATCTTCCTGGGCCTCTTGCAAAGATCTCTGGAACGGGAGTGAAACAATCCAAAGCACGTGAGAAAAACCATCGAGTTCCACCCGTGTTTTCGCAAGGTAATCATTTGTTGAAGCGCGGCTGGAATCATTCAATCAGCCAGGTATCGGTAGCAAGTGCCCATAAAAGAAACCAACCACGATAACTAAAGCTGAACAAAAAGAAAAATGACGACAACATCAGCCATCTCTTGTGTTATCCAAGCACTCGGTTTTGTCCACGAAGAACGTTTCCATGAAGCCGTGGCCAAGGCGAGCAAAGCCACAGGAGGACAGAATCGGACGCTTTGGAGCTCGGTCTTTTCCGCGACCACACTCGAGAAGCAATTCTCGGTCGAATACTCGTACGTGGTGCCTGGAGACCAGGAAAACAATGCTGACAATACAGAAGAAGTGCGAGGAGTCCTCCACTTTCAAGCTTCCCATGAAAAAGCGTCGCGATCGCCGGTAGTCTACTACAGAATCCAAGGCAGTGGCAGCGACAAAGATGGATCATTCCAAATAGTGGAAGGCAGACTATCGCCCTATACTGGTGCGATGTACTGGATCCAAGAGCCAGATCGATCCAATGAATCGTTGACCCCAATGGTTCTGGTTTCGGGTACGGCCCGACGACTCGACAGAATCGTAGCAGGCCAAGAAACCACCATCAAGGAGACCCAAGAAAAGAACGATACTAGTACCGCCTTTCATGGCAAATGGCACGCCAGCAATGGTACCAAGGGTGGATTTGAAAGCTTTCACTTTCGACTGGCATAGGTTAGTTGACGGGAAGCACGTTTTTGATACATCATGCATGATACGTACAGATTTTAAAAGGAGGTTCCATTTTAATAATTAAACTTGTTGAAGCTCCTAGCCAAAGTGGTGTAGAACTCAGGTACTTGAGGAGATTCGTCTCAGCGATTAAGCCCACAGTTGTAGCTTGCTGTGTTGTGCGTGGGTTCGTTGTTGGCGTTCAATAATAATACTGGTGCTGGTAGCCGTAGTCCAGTTCAGCCAGCCAAAGGGGCCTCAATTGCATGTACATGCAAAGGCACAACTGGAAGTATTGCTGTGTAGTCAAGCAAGCCCCCGCTTGTCCGGGTTTCCTCGATCGACCATTTATTCTTTATTTCGCTTCCACCACCGTCCAACCCTTGCCGTCACTGGACCGCGTCCACATCTTTTCCACAATGGGATCCGCACCCAGAGGTCTTCCGGCCCGCCTCAATCCCAAAAGGACATTAAAACTACAGCTCGTAGACGCTTCCATCAGAATGGATAAGGGATCGAAGGGGACCAGTTGGACGGTATCTCCCACTTTGAGAAAATCGGCCCATTCGCTCCTCTTTCCATCATTGGAGTTGGAGGATTCTTCGGTGGTTTCCGCGGGATCTCCGGGTCCTCTCTTTTTCCACGTCAACTCACCGTGCAGGGGGTTGTCGTCGTTGGCTGATGGAGGACCAAAATAGATTCCATGGGCCGGCAACGAGGCGCCAATGCCCATGCTTCGCGCCCAGTAATATCCCCCCACGTGATGATTGGCGAGTCCCAGGCCCAAGTAGGCTCCTTTAGGAGAGACCGATTCCACGGAAGTATCTACATTGCAAACCGACAGGGACTTTCCACTTCCTTCTTGTTGTACCACGGCATCTCTCTTGTCCGTGCAAGTGACGGTGGTGTGAACGAAAAAGGCGCCAGAGTCGGCCAAGTCTTGGTTTGTTGTTGTTTGTTGCAGAATGCTACTACTGGGATCCTGGAAGAATTCGTCCATGGTAGTACAATCGAGCCGTTGTTCCTGGATCCATTTTTCCATCAAGGAAAGTTCCACAATGAAACTGGGTGTTGGAAGGTAGCTCAAGAGATCTCCCACTTTGGCGTCCTTTTTGGTGTTCTCCACTCGCGAGGCCTCCAGGGCAGAGGCTGTTCTTCTTTTTGCAGAGTCCGCCTTGCCCAATGATCTGGATATGCATGTAAAACCATTGGCACGCCACAATAAGCAATGGAGCCAAGTCGATACTCCCACCAGAACCACAATCCATCGATTCATCCTGCTCTTCTACCAGAAAGTAAAACTAACTGATTGCTGTATGGATACTACTTTGGCTGGTTTCAGTCAGTGATAACTCAAGACGAGATTAAAACTAAAGAACTCTTGAAAGGGAAGGAAGGGGCTCTTAAGCTGGGCGCGAGATACATGTCGCCGCTTCCTGTGGCAGCAGCGGTACTGTATCATCATCGTGTCGTTGTTGTGTTGTGAATGAAGACGTCATTGGTTGCAAAGATTAGTCCCGAACTGAGAGCAGTCTTGAGACGTCGACAACCGTTCACCCTGCTTGTTTGACCCTGCCGGTACGCTGTAGTCTATTCTGTTTGAGCACATTGGAACCTGTGTTACAAGAGAGTCACTACTCCACAGCACTGGAAACATGGTACCGGTACCTGGTGGTGACAGTGGGATATTTACTTTCCTTCCATACCTCCTACATGTACCATCCTTTTCTTCCTCCTTCTACCCTCTCCAACCTTCTTTATTCCTCCCACTCTCTGATCAGTGGTATGGCAACCATAGCTAGCTCAGACCTCAGTGTACCAAGCCTTGGATAGCTAAAAGGTGTCACACCCTCTCAGGAGCCTAGCTACTGTGGCCAGTGATCAGCAGACTTGACTGTGGGAAACACCTGGGCCTCAACGCGTGGGTCTTCTTGTCTGCATCCTAGACTATCAGTTTTTTGTTTGGGCAAGACATTTGTCAAAGATAGTAAATTCTATTGATAATATTATACCGCTATTTTGTTATGAGTTATAAAGTAGGTGATAGCTTCGCCAACTGCTGGCAGCTCTCTGGAAACTTTTCCGATACTCTAGTATCGTCTCGAATTGCTACTAGAAGTACCATTCTGTTGTGATTGTTGTTGCTGTGCTTCTTGCTGTGCCTGTTGCATGGTCTGAAGGACACTACCCGCCATTTTCAAGGACGCTCGCAGTCCTTTGGCGAGTTGTGGATTGTTTTTGAGAGCATTGGATCCTCGTTCCAGTGTCCGACGAACGGCTGGATTTTCATTGGCTTTTTGAGCCACGGCGGCTCCCATGGCAGCGACTTGAACTCCAGTGGCGGCCTTTTCCGTGGCTGCGGCACTTTTGCGCATGCCCATGGCACGTTGGACTCCGGCAATGGCACGCAGTCCACTGCCCAGTGCCATTCCCGAACTCAATGGATCTTTGGCGGCGGCATCCATACCCATGGAACCGGTAGTGGACGAATTTTTAGTGTTGTTGTTGTTGTTGCTGTTGTCAAAATCTCCACTGCGGTCCTGTGCATAATTTCCATTGTTGTTTGAATCGTTGTTGGGGTTGTTGTTGTCGTTATTGTTGTTGTCATTGCGTCCTTCGGCCAACCGTTGGGCCCAAAAGATAGTTTCCATGAAATCACTGGCGGCATTGACGGCATTTCCACTGCGCGACGTTGGGCCTCCACCTGAAAACATGGATGTGGCCGTGGCAAACATGAACAGGGCTTCTTGGAATGACGGCATGTGGGTCCGTTCAAAATCGTTGGCGTAGTGGGTCTTGTCACCATGATGATTGTTGCCATTGTAGTAGCCATTATTGGAGGAGTAAGAACTATTTCTCAATTCGGCATCGTACTCGGCACGTGCGCCATCATCGCTCAGTGTGCCCCAGGCTTCGGCAACACGTTGAAAGGCTTGTGTGGCTTGCGCATGTTGGCATTTGTCGGGATGCACCGCGACGCTCGTCTTGAGATATGCCTTGCGCAGAACCGCCTTGTCCAGATTCTTGGCGTCCACGCCCAGAACATCGTAGAGTGTCTTGGCGTTCAGAATGGACTCCACAACTTGGTCAATATTACTACTACTCATTGTTGCTGATGTTGTTGTTATGTTTGACTAAAGTACTTTGTGAGCTGACTGCCTGTTCTTGATGCAAATGTTTCGTTTGCACTGTCGACAAGAGGCGTTGATTTGTGAGAGGGGATGATGGAGGAAGAGCGAGCAGGTGTCATTGTCGTCTTTCGATTTGGTTTTTGCGATTGCCTCGACCGATCCCGTTCACGACTTGAACCGTTCCCGACTTCATTCGGGGAAGACAGCGAACCATAACTCATCGACCTCCCAACTTTAGGTTTGGACGTCATGCCGGTTGCCTCATTCATTTTACTTCCGCCTGTGCCATTACTCTCTCTGGATTCTTTGCTTTGTACTCCTAATCACTTTTGATTGAATGGTATTGGCGATAAACTGCATTGTTTGTGTGGTGCTGGTGGAATTGGATGAGCAGGAAATGGCAGTCAGATTGCTGACAAGGGACTTCTAGAAAGCAAGGACGATCAGGACCTGTGCAAAGTGGAATATACATAGCATGGTTGGAGAAACCAGCAAATGAATGGCACGAAGAAGGAAGAGCAAGCTAAGTTCAGGTGCATGCCTGGCAGCCAGCTAGATATTACCTCGTAGGACAATTCGATACTGTGAAGCCAGAGGAGGGAAGAATCTCCAACTACGGTAGAGATGCATGTAGTTTCTATCTCCGGGATCTATGCGCACTCTACAGTCGGCGGTTTCTGTACACTGTATGCATAGACATATGCATAGACATATCCATGCTTCTAAAAGTTAGAGTACGGTAGCTACATACCATTTTAAAATTAGGTCTAGACTCGTACCTGTAGCTGTTTATGTGCTTTACCGATGGAGCCGCGGAGCAGAAGTCAGGACTTTTACCGGTACTGCCGGCTGGCCTTAGGTACCGGTATGGGTAGCTAGTGCACTCTCCTGCTTCCTTCATAAGACACACCGGCATGCTTGGAAGCTAAGTAACCGAAAATTGGATGTAAATACAATGTTACTCTGCCATGGAGTTGCCAGTGTTTCTTCTCTTTTTGCGATAGTGACATCCAATTCTGAAGGAGACTATGTCACTCCCACAATTTGAGATGGATGTCACCTTCCAAATTTTTTTTGCCTCAACTGATCACCAAGTTTCGAGCGGTTTGTGGGTTGCCAAAGCGTTTAGGAGCAGTGGGAGTCGACTACCCGGGTAGCGATGCACATTCGGTCCACACGGATCTGTTCGCGGAAGTGGCCCAGCCAAAATTTTGGAGGAATCTGGCTAAATTCCAAGGGTAGCCAGTAAAGAACAAGTGAGTGTGGTTTCGGGCCACAGAATTCATACGTACCAGTTACTTCAAACAAAAACACTCATTCATTCATCCATCAACACTGGCATTGCTCCCAATCACGGTAGCTTCATTATTGTTTCCATACCATAGTTACCAACGAGAATAACACCATGGAGGATCTCCCACGCGAAATTATGATAGTTGCAGACGACAGGTCCAGGAGCGCACACTTGGTGGAAGGGGACAGCTTTGATGAAGATTTCATCTGTTCCTTGATTGACGAACCTGCTAATCAGAACATGTCCATTCCCTCTTTCGTCAAAGAAGAGGACACGATCATGGCTGGTGCCAATCGATTCGATCAAAGTACCATCACTACGGCATTGGAGAGTCTGTCGTGTGATGATGACTGTGATAAAACTATGACAGACTACTTGGAGGACAATGAAGTCGTGCCAGACTGTGATGCTTCCACATCTTCCACCGATACTGATACTGAAATGAGATACAATGTCACGGATAGTACCTGTCCATTGTGTTACTTTACAGTGGACGGAGGAGAAGCTGTCGTACTCAATGCCTGTGGCCATGCCGTTTGTGTTGCCTGCTTTCAACAGCACATTCGATCGAGCTACAAGAGGCGTTCCTCGGTCTGTTGTCCAATGGCTGCTGCCAGCCAAGAACCATGCCAAAGCAAACCCTTGACTCGATCGCTGGTCCGACAAATCATGGCTACTGAAGTAGTCTTGCCGGCCTTTTTGCCCAAAAAGACAATTCCATCCCCGTCCAACTATCATTGCTGTCCCACCGTGGGATGCACCAATATGATCTATTGGAAGGAAGGCAACGGTCCACCCATTAGTGACTGCTTCCGATGCGACCAAACGGGTTGCTTAACGTGCGGTGTCACGCCCTATCACCACAACAAATCCTGCTGCGAGTATCAGGCGTCGATGATTCGGCCGGCCGCGGTGGAACCAATGCTGGTCCTGGAAGAACGAACGGACCGAGATACTGACCGATATTCCTTCTGAGCCAGTGTTTTGCGTCGCCCATAACACTTTTTGGATTCATTCATTTTTCATAACACAAGCATCTCCCTGATTCCCTGATCCTGGGAGCCAGTCCCTGTCATTATTACTGTTTTCTGTAACAAAACCCCCATTGTAGTAATGGTTGTAAACTCTAAGGTTGTTTATTAGTTCCTATTAATACCGTATGAATCATTCTCTGTTTCTTTTACATAGCACAAAAATGCAGTACAAATAATTGTACTCAATTAGATAGGTAGATCTACACAGAATACTCCGACCTCCTTTTCTCGGCTATCCGTTCTGCCTTGGGTATAGTGGTAAATATCAAGCTCCCTTGTTCTTCCAATGCTTTCAAAGTTTTCATGACACCGCCCTCATTGTTGGTGTATTCAATCACTTCATCTGCAATCTCCTTGACACAGTCTCTGGCATTCTTCATGGCAAACCCTTTTCCGGCAAATTGCAGAAATTCCAAATCATTGTCTCCATCTCCAAATGCCACACATTCGGCAATATCCACACCCAAGCCACTACACATTTTGATCAGTCCATTTCCTTTGCAAACATCAGGCCCCAAGACCTCCATGAACCATCCCAGATTCCCACGGACCATGGTGACGGTTTTTCCATTGAACAAATATTCTTCCTTGGTCAGTTCCATGGCAAATTCCAGCATCATGCGATCTTGTTCCTTGGTACGACACAGCACGAGCTCTTTGGACGGTGGTCCCTTTTGCATGGCTCTGGCAAAATCATCAGTGACGTAGATTGTCTTGCTGCCGGTCAATTCTCGATACAGCTGGGTCAATGTGTGGTGATGCCGTTCGACCGGATTGGCGTAAATGTGTTCACCCACGTAGTATTGGGTCACCAATCCCAATTGTTTGGCCAGTTCCACGGCTCGCTGGGCTACATGCATGGGCACGGGAATGGAGAAGAGTGGTTCCTTGACGACCTTGCGTTTCCCATCGGGACGTTCGACCACCATACACATGAATCCCTCGGCACCGTTGGAACAGACGACAGGAATGGGTTTGGGGATATTCAGAGCCTTGATGGTCTCGTAGACTGTGGAAATGGCTCTACCAGTAGCAATGGACACCATGAAACCTTGCTGGTCCAGATATCGCAGGTACTCAGCCGTCTCATCCGTGAGTTTGTGCTCGGAATTCAACAGAGTGCCATCCAAGTCCAACGCCACCATGCGGTATTTTTGAGGTATTGGCATCTCCGTGGTCTTGATGCTACTGGTTGTGTCGTGTGCCACAGAGGGGATATGGCTTGTATCGGTCGTCATCTTGCTCCTCTTTCTTGGTTGTAAGGTGGTATGCTGTTTGTGTTCCTTGAACCAACAAGCCTTGGAGTTTGTTTCCTTCGGTCTTTCGGTTTTCGAAAGAATGAGCAAGACAGTGGAACCTCCCGAAGTCTTTGTGACGTGGGTGCAAAATAGTTCTGGCGAACAAGCCGCTGAGGCTGAGAGGACATGATTTGTACTCATCCAAAAGGGCACCGACCGGTGGATGGAGCAACTACTCTAGTATGTACTGAGCAACTATGTACCACTACCTGCCTGTACCGGTATCCTGCGTCTTGTATTGATGTACTGCATTGATGTTCTACACTAGCTAGTACTGGAGTAGGTTTAGTTTTACATGTAATGTACCAGTTCGTACCGTACGACGTTCATTCTGATCTACTCATCTTCTCGTGCCGACCCGGGATCTTCGAATGCTTCCATCAATGCCTTTCTGAACCTATCTTCACCTTCAAAGCAGGGCAAATGCAATTGGGGGGATACAAGTTTCGAAAACTCGCATTGATTACATGTACCATCAGGCCCGTAACCTATAATGTGAATTGCAGCCCACTCCAAGCGAAACCCTTTGTTGTGGGCGTTTGTGGCGGCCTCATAGATCCAACCTCTATCCTGTTCCTTGATGCCCCGAAAGAATGGCAAGTTCGGCAGAGTGAGATCAAGAGCAGTGAAGAAATCCGGATCGTAAATATCATCGCTGCGGACGCGGCATCGTGCACCCAAGTATTCGAGGATCTTTCTGCTTCCAGAGTCAAGACCGTGAGAGTTCCACCGCAATCGGGTCGGAAAATCTTCATCGTAAGGCTCGAATGTGCCAATGGTGCTCAGTGAATTGAATATGGTAACTTTGTCTTTGAATCCTAAGGGAACTCCCAAGCTTCGGACCACCTCGTCTCGCACAATCTCAAAAAATAGGTTTCGTGTAGTTTTACGATCTGCAAGACGCAGTATCTCTGGGGTGATTTGCACGTTCGTACCCAAGTCTTTGCGAGAGCAGATCCGTGCTCCAAAAGTGGCAGGCTTTTCGTCCATTTGAGTGTTCCTGCCCTTTTCCACAACTTGCCATTTCAGATTGGGCCCCATGACAGCCATAGAGTATGGCTCCTTTCCTTCAAAATCCTTCATCCACAATCCAGTGTCGTCTCTTTGGCTGGAGAAGCAACGGCAGGCAGACTTGACGGCGCCATGGCGTCGCAGGAGAAGCAAGGAAGGAGATAGCATGGGGCAGATTTTGTATCAACCCCTCGTTGAAGTGATGTGCTATACCAATACTCTCTAGAGAGTACTGTGGAGTGTGCATTCGTCTGTCAGAGTCGAGTCGAGTCGAGTCTCCACTGTTGATCTATCATCATTTGATGTGGATTTCAGGTTTTGAGGTGAAGATTCGATTCATTCGAGCCTTCAAGTGAAGATCCAAGCTACTTCCTGGTAGTACTCCCGACACCGCCATTTTTGGCCACCAGTAGAATTGAGGATGGGGTAATTTAAACGTTCACGTTGGCCTTCCAGATCCAAAACTCCCAAGTTGGAGAATAAGATCCAAGGACCTTCCAGGTGCATATTTTTATTACCATCCACCGAACAGAACTGTTCGTAGGTATCGTACCTTCCGACCAAGGCAATCCTATCATGTCTGGTTTCTGCCCCAAAGAGTTAAACAGTGCAGTATTGACAGAGCTCTATGCCTTATGACCTCATCCAAATCCAGTGATGACAAGCTCAATAAGTCATCAATGCGTCGCAAATGACCTTTTCCCAAGGCTTCGTGCCAAACTTAACTGACAAGGTTGCACGCGATTGAGCCGAAAGTCAACGAATGAAATCAAGCAATCGCTTGCACCATGACCACCAGCGGAAGCGCTGTTTGGCCAAACGGTACACTGTAGGACTCAACTCAGACTCTGATCTGGTATCCACAAGGCAACATCCACACAAAGCAAGCAAAACAAATACGTGTTATCCATTCTAATAGAAGGGAAGGCAAGATACAAGCAGCAGCATACCGTAGGGTCCTCATTGAGCTTTTGGTTCTCCTCCTGCTAGCTAGTTTAAAAGTGAGAAAGCAGCATAGGGTAACATAACATCTCCCAGCCACCGCTTTCTTTCTGCCGCAAAGCAGGAACACAGAGCTCGCACAAAAGCGCATCCCATCCATTCGACACAATGCCCGTTTCTCCCAAGCCGGCTTTGTCGCCCATTCGACGACGCAGTTCACTTGTATTAAAGCTGAATCCCAAGAATTGGTTATCCAGCAGCAACTTGAACGTGGACAACAACAACAACAACAACAACAACAACAACAACAATGTGGATCTAAATACCAATGGTGAGAACGACAACAACGAGGACGCCACCAACCAAGCACTCATGGGCAGCAATAGCCAGGGATCCGCCGGAGCCACCGGAAAAGGACGAAGCTCTCTGGTCTTGAAACTGAATCCAATGAAATGGTTATCTAGTGGCAACTTGAAGGCCGATATCGACGCCATGGACGCCGAGGATTACGCCAACCAAGCACTCAAAGGCAGCAATAGTCAGACATCCGCCACCAGCAGCAAACGCAAGGGAAACGCCAGTGGGAATACCCGAAACACGGAAACCTACTACAATCCGGTGGTCAATCGCTTCCTCACGCAAACCAAACCTCCAAGGCCCATGGTCATGCTGGATTTGCAAGAAATACAGGTAGGCAAGTTACTGGGGGAAGGATCCTTCTCGGAAGTTCGGGAAATTCAGGGAATTCAGCTGATTCCCGACATTCAGTTGCCCGCTTCGTCGGCAGAGGAACAACGTCGTCGAGAACGCCGTCGACAAGAGTTTGCCAAGGATATTGCGAATGCCAACAATAATAACAGTGGCGACAACAACAACAACAATAAGTATGCCATTAAGCAACTGAGTCGGAAACTCTCCATGGTCCCGGACGGATTCCAAAGTGCAGCTGCCGATCTCGTCCTCGAAGCCAGTTACTTGATGCGTTTGAACCATCCCAATATTTTAAAAGTTCACGCCGTCGCCATGGACAGTCAAGAGGCATACGATACCCAAGTCTTTGATAAACTCTTTCTCGTCTTTGATCGCATGGGCGGGACACTCTACGAACTCATGACCGAGTGGAAGAAACACAACAACCCGAGCAAGGACAGCCAGATTATCATGGAACCAAAAGTATTGGCCCGAAAAACCAATTACGCCCTTCAAATTGCCGAAGCCTTGGAACACCTTCATGTGCGGAGAATCATATTTCGCGACCTCAAGCCTCACAACGTGGGCTATCTGGCCGTGCCCAATACGTCTTGGGAGGACGACAAAGAAGAAGCCCACGTGGGGACCATTCAGCTGTTTGACTTTGGATTTTGTCGAGAGCTGCCCGAAAGCAGCAGCAATAATTCGTCAGACGATCATGATCAGGAACTCTTTCGCATGTCCAAAGTCGGATCTCCCGCCTACATGGCACCCGAAGTCAAGGACGACAATGGCAGATACAACTTGAAGGCTGACATGTACTCGTTTGCGTTGATCTATTACGAAATGCTCATGCTGCAGCATCCGTTCCGCAGGGTTCGGCGGCGGTCGTCGGTCGATGGCGTCCCCAAGAAACTGGCTCGCATGCCCGATCGGATCCAAGAACTGCTGCAAGGAGCTTGGAATCCGTCGGTGGAAGAACGATGGACCAGTCGCGAGACTCGATCACGACTGGAAGCCATCTTGCAAGAGTTGGAGGACGAGGCGTAATCGCCTTGTCCTCAAGCGAACAAACAGTAGGGGCGGCCCGGAGCTGCGGGTCATGTCAGGTCAAGGCATGATGATGGCTTCTTCGTCGAGAGCGGGCAGGAAAGGCCTCAGTTACATCTTGTCCGTCACGTCGTGAAAACCAGCCCTCTTCTCAACTCTATCCCGTCCTCAAACAAACAGTGGGGGCGGGCCGGAGCTGCGGGTCAGGGCAGGTCAAGGCATGATGATGGCTTCTTGCGTCGAGAGCGTGCAAGAAAGGCTTCAGTTCTCTCGCCAACACCTTGTCCGTCACATTGTGAACATTTCCCAATGCCGCAAGGTCGGGGGAGCTCAACATCCGTTCTCATCTCAACTCTACCAAAGACGAGTTCGGGGTCGACGCATCTATCTGAATGAATGAATGAACCTCAGCTGGCTTGGGCAACCGCAGGAGAGGCGCATGAGTCGTTTACTTCACTCGTTTTGATCCTTTGGTTTGGGTCTCGGCATGCGGGAGAGCTGAGATCCACAAGTAGGCACTTACCAATATCCCTCACCGAAGACCCACCATCTCGACGTCAAGCTTTGGATCATGATCTGAGTTGCAGCGGGCTGCGCGCAGCGAAAAGTCGGTGCAGGCTGCCCTGAAGCTGCGTGCGGGACGGGGACGAGATAGATTTGGTGCCGGTGCGCTTGAGCTGGCCCGAGACAGCCTGCTGCTTGCAATTCCTCAACATCCCAGCTAGACTTGAATCTTTCAGAGCGGGAACAAACAGGCCCGACTCGACTCCGCCTAAGACCGAAAAGCCTTGCATGTTTCATTCGGGAAAGGTCCCCCATGCAGGAAAGGACTGCCGTGCAGTCATATCAATGCAAAACTTCAGAGACCCACTCAGGCTGTTGAGCAGCAATCAACTTGAAGCAAGAGCCTCCTCAGACTTCCAAGCAGGAAACAGCAGATGGCTTTAGTCAACTCAAGATCTAGAATAGATTTATTGCTGTTGATGCTCCGAAAGAAACGAAAATGATCGTGTGAAAGACGGGAGGTCTCGAGTTTCTTTGCTGGTTTGAACATCACGGCAGGAGATGGCAGTTCAATTTACATGAGAGTTTCTGGGTTTGACTATTGGAGACCAATGGCGGCAAAAGTTGAGTCAGCTTTGTGCTCTGCTCGGGCGGGGCGAAGGTGTTTGAATGGTTTTCTTCGACGTATGAGCGACCGTTCGCTGCCCGCTTGAAGTTAGTTTTTGCAGGCTCTTCTTTTTGTCTTGGCGTGGGTCTGAAAGTGATGACCGGAAGCGAACAATCTGCTGCCTCTGGCTGAATGCCTGTTGAATGGATTGGTCTGAGTTGATTAAAGTTTTGTTTATCGATTTTTGCTCTGCTTGTACCAAGCGCTTCGTGTTGGTGAGAAGTTCAGCCGGGAAGTTCCAACGAATGGGATGTTCGGGCGACTGGGGTGTACCGGCACGAAGAGCGCCAGTGACGACCAATATTTGTTTGCCCAATAGTTTGATGGTTATTGTTGCTATGCTTCCGTGTGTATTATCAAGATCGTGTGGGATTTCAGCTCCGATCCATCAACCGAAGAAATTGGATGTAGATCTCTGTAGTTTCTGTCTGAATCTTCAAGATTGATCACCCCTTTGCGGGACGAAGTCTCGTTGGTATTGGGATGGACCTGGAAGGTCTTCCCAGGGCTCTGTGGCATTGGTTGCTGGTTTTGCTGGCCTTCTGTGTGTAGCACCTTAGCCCCGTTCTAGGTTTTGCTGGCCTTGTAGGTGGCTGCTGGACAAAGAATGACGGAAAGCTCCTCCAAAGTCTTCAATCCAATGGATCCATGTAGTCGTTGAATGTTGAATGGATGGAGGTTCAGGTCACACTTTGGTATGGTCTTTCTGTTTCTCGTTTGGTCCAACAAAGGTAATCCCAACTGCGTCGAAGTATAAAGGCGAGACGACAATCGGTGAGAGAAACCGTTCTGTAGGGTCGTGTCAAACAAAGTGAGCGTAAGCCCAAGCGGTGGCTATTGTGAACCATCCAGCTATTAGAATAGATTTACGACAGCCTGTGAGTGCGGAAGAGGAAGCCTTTCACTGGATGTCAATGTGATGAGATCTGCAGCGTCGAAATGTTGCTGTATGCTGCCAATCTGCCAATTGCCAATAAATCTTCTCGTACCTGTAGTACTCTTTTTCAACCTCAAGACCTGATCCCCACTTCGCCTTGCCATAGGACCTCTTTCGTGCCCTCCCTTTATGTTTCAAAAGAACCTACACCGGTATATACATGCCTCGGATCAGCAATATGCTTCCGTAGGAAGCAATATGCGGATGAGAGTTGTAAGTTTATGTTGGTTTGGATGCAACGAGAGAAGATCTCGAATGGTTGGCTTTGTAGTGTACCATTACAAAGCTATTGTACGTGACTTAACAGCCGTTATTGTCTATAGTTGAAAGCTTACGACGACGACACGAAGTTGGCCACAGGATTATGGAGACGGTGCTGTGGACGACAGGAACGATCTCAATGCAACTTCCATACAGCAACGAGGGTAAAAAATGGTGAGCTCATTCAAAGTATTGGTCGCCCGGACGGGTCAAACTCGAATGAGAGGCGGTATCAAGTTTTTGAGTCACAGTCCAGTGAGCTCTTGGAGAACAGCCTTGAGAAGCTCTTGAATGAGAGCACGTACCGGTACAGTGTAATAGGAAAGGGCCCCCAGAGCCCCCAAGACATCACCGTCAAACAAGGAAGCACTGTTGGACTATAGAAAAGGTGACGATTCAGCTGACTGGTCGGCCTCACTTAAAGTCGGGTTTGGAGGTTCTTTACGATGATTTAACATAGAGATTATTCAGTACACTCAATGTCACAGTACAAGTATGATGGGATTGGTTTACAGGGAATAGGTACATTAGACATATTCATTCTTACAAACTTGGTCATACAGTCATACAGTAGCTCATACAGTACGATAGAACCCGCAAATTCTCCAGTGATTGCGGTAGGTGAAAAATAAATGGGTCAGATGTTGTGACAGACAAGATCTCTTTTCTCATCGATTGCATCCAGCTTTCACCTCCACTTGAGCTCACAATTTCAAAAAGTTCCAAAGCTCAAAGCTCACAAAACCAACAGCCAAACTCTTTCCAAGCACCTTCACTTCAAATCTCCAACATGGTTGATCGCATTTCCAACTTCAAAACTCAAGAGATCTGCTTCCTTGATGAAACCATCACTATCCAAGGACGTGTCAATCAGACCCGCCTTCCAAGCGACTATGAACCTACCAACTGGTCCGTGATCTGTGGAAGAGGCAAAGATTGCTATAATCACTGTGGCAACAAGCGCCTTCGAATCCTTGTGGATGCCAACCTCGCCAAGTACTCTGCTGCCAAGTCCAAGTATGACAAGACGTTGATCGTTTCCAGTATTGTCGATGCAGTCCGTGAAGCTGCCCAGATGGGAGGCTTTATCAAGATGGACACCAAGACAAAGAAATGGATTGAGGTTGGAGATGATGCTGCCCGAGAAAAGGTTGGACAGCTCCTCCGAGAAGCCATGACCAAGAAAGATCCTTCCAAGGTTCAGGAACGAAAGGCCCGTCGCAAGGCCAAGGCCCTCAAGAGCAAGAAGGTCAAGCTCTCTCGAAGTGTCAGCTCTGAAAGCGCATACTCTTCCTCCAATAGCTCCGTATCCACTGCTGAAACAGCTGCCATGTCTACCTCCGACTCCGAGTCTGTGTCTGCTGCATCTATGGTGCCTTCCTTTCCTAACATCATGGCGAACACCGCAAACCAACGCGTGGACCTGACACCACTTCCCATGGGACCATCTACAAGCATTGGCAAGTACTTTGCAGACATCCATACCTTCAAGATCATGCAACTATAAGTTGACTTTCTCCTTCCTGCTTTCCGACATCCAATACTCCATATAATCTATTCTACATTCTATAAACAAAAGGGTTCAAAATCACAGTAAGTCTTCTTTTCATCCTCACATTGGCGTATTTAGTTGTATCAATCTAGCTAGAGCTGCCTCCAGCATGAGCATGAGCAGCCCCTATCCAGGAATCCCGCCGTGTTGCTTATCCTGTCCTTGGCTGCCACACCCCTTTTCTCCTTCGTTTCAATCCATGACAGCTGGCACATCTGCCTTCGTGCTCGAAGCAAACAAGCATCTGAGGAGGAGCCGCAAGGATCTCTAGCTTTTTCTGGGGGCTAGTACTTGCACAAGGAGAACCTAAAAGGTGAACAACAGTAACTGTTGAGCATACTAATATCTACTCTATTTAAAAAGCAACAAGCAGACGGACAAGAAACAGAGCTACTGGCACGGAGTAGTCTACCTGGTGTGTTCGCCATGCAAGCATACAGCAGAAACAAGGCTAAACCCACGTTGTTTGCAGATATCTATTGACGACAGCAGCGAATCCGCCAGCTATCTGCTATCTTCTAGCTAGACGACTGTACGGTGAGTACATATATATTATCTGCTAGCTAGAAAATAGATCGTAGAAAGCACACCACCATCCCATCACGCATCAGTGTTCGTTGAGCAGAGCTGTTCGTTGTACGGTACCGTTTGCTGAGGCGTAGCCGTACTCCGAGTACTACCATACAATCTACAATCCACAGCACCTGGGCCTGTACCGTACGGTCGAGTCAAAGTCCAGGCATTAGACTAGCTAGTTAGTGCATACCGGTACGTGTACCAGAAAGCCAGAAAGGGGCAGGATAAAAAGACTCGCCACTGTTGAAGTTACTGGTACAGTAATGTTACGGCATTGTGCCACTGTGCCTCTTTGTTGAAAAGGTGAAAGGCAACTCAGTAATATGCATAAGAGAATGACTGCACAGGAGATTTTTTCTATTCATGCCACTCACATTCACTCATCCGATTATTTATGTATTCATGTTTTTCTTTTCCAGCAAGCTGTTTCTAGTTCATCACCAAGTGTCTGACTCACAAAAATCAATCTGTGCAGCTTCTCAATGGCCTTTTTCTGCCTTCTGTAATCTAGGAAGTCAGCTTGGATGCAATCATGGCGGGATAGATTTGATAGCTTAAGGACGCACAGCCACTCTGGATTCTGAATAGGAGTTGGGCGAAACCTAGCTACTGGTACGATCCAGGTGCCGGCTGCGTTGCTACTTTCCAATGTTTTGCATTGGGCATCAACATTCGTCGGAGCTTCCATTGCCTCTTGAGCCAGCTGTTGCGCCTCAATTTTTGTGTGCTGACAGGTTTCCAAGCATACGATTTTAGCAAAACAACAAGCCTGTGATAAGGCGTCGTGATGAATCCATCGACACATTTGCAAACACACGGCGTCACTGGAGCATAGTCTCAGTTTATTGCACGCGTGGAACAGTGTCTGCTGCCGTGTGGAACACATGTGCTAGCTAGTAGGGTGTTGCAGGAAGTTTGTTGAAACTTTTGTGAACTTATGGATGTCACTAGCTAGTAGCCAGCCAGCAGCCTACCGTACCGTACTCGTTACAGGAGATTGCGTCGTCGTTCTTGTGGATGCTCGTGGTGTTGGGCCGTGGACGGTACAATTATTGCACAGTACATGTACCGTACTGTAGCCAACGTATTCCATGGGATACTGTATCATTCCTTGTTCAGACAGGGGGTTCAGGCAAAAGGGGTGCCTTCATTGCGATTTGATTACTGTGGTGTACCATCCACACTGAACATTTTAGTTAGGATGGCTGATCTCCTTTGCCATAGCCATAGAACAGTTCCCTATCCCAGCTTTTCAGAATCAACGTCCACTGCCAAAAGATACTCACGCGAGGATCCAAGGAGCCCACCTTTTCAGGACTATCCTGGATTTCTTTCCTGAGCTTTTCATAACTGGCCATGCTGCGTTGATCCAGACCCCTCAAGTTCTCATGACTGCGAAAGATGTTCATTTCATTCATCTCCATGTAGCTCTCCAAAAACTCTTCTCCTGGCTGAATATCTCGTTTTGACCATACGCCTAGTTCCTTGGGAGATGTCACTCGGAGTTCCACGTTTATCTCATCAAGGTTGGAGAGACCCTGAAACGCACGCGATGTTACACGTATAACTCGTATCACTCGTATCACTCGTATAACTTGTATCACTCGTATAACAGGTGTAACACTCGTATAACAGGTGTAACACGTCTTACGTGTGGAATACGTATAACACGTATAACACGTGCGCCAGCCAGCCACCGTGACCGTTCGAGTTTCGCAAAATGACTTGACTCCAACTTGACTTCAACACCAACTCCAATCTCCACCACAAAGAACCACCATGACAATAACCTCTCTTCTCTTGTTTGTTTGAAGGATACAAAGGTTTCTCTTGTTATTTGAAGATAGCACCATCATTGTGGGTAAGTAGGCAATGTGGTATGGCTTTGTTGAAGCCAAGAAGACTGTTCCTGTGGAAAGATAGAATGATTTCTCTTCATTCAACTCATTCTCCATTTTTCTGCCTCCACTCTCTTCCTCAGGCCCTGTACAGCCTTCAGGACCATTCTCTTTGCATTCATATACTTCTGAAGGCTCCCTGACAAAGCCTGTGGAAGACCTGGCCTTGAATTCTACCATTGTCAACCACTTTCTGTAGGGACCAGTACTGAACTCATGTAAGTACCTCAGCGCGCAACACGTGTTACGCGTGTAACACGTCTTATGGTGTAACACATGTTATGCATGTAACGTGTATTATATATATCACCCGTGATATACGTATCTAGCGTGTAACACGTAAGATTTCTGCCTATCTGCTGCTGTCGCCTCCTGATGTGATACTTGAGAGATGGTACCATCTGGCTTCACCAAAGACAAGACCACTCCTTGTTTTTGATATGGAATCCAGCAGTCTTGCAAGAAAGTACAAAGTATGGCATCAAAACTTCTTTAATATGCGCCGAATCACAAGATTGATACATCGAAGGTAGCCAATACACTGTCGATTTCTCCATTCGATAATTATCGAACCCCAGAGTATCCATAATGTTTATCTCCTTTGGTGTATCATCAGTTAGTGAGGTTGCTACATTCGCAATGATTGAAGCAGGAGTCCATTCTTCATCATTGATATTGTATCTAGCAACATGGGAGAGTTCAGATAGGTAAGAGTCCATTTTACTTGATAAGCTGTCAGGTATTATGGCCTGCAACAGTGCATCTTCCTCTCTGCCTCCCAAACACCTAGCAAAACACCTGGCAAAAAAGCAAAAATTCGTCACTATGTATTATACGTATAACACGTACAACACATAATACATGTAATACGTATAATATTTTTCCACTTGTGTTACTTGTGTTGTACGTATGACTTGTCTAATACATATTAAAAAGGTTATATGTGTAATTCGTATGATCTGTAGAATACATAGTGAAAATGTTATACGTATAATACAACCGCGTGCGTTTCAGGGGCTCTCGAATTGAGAATTCCACTCAATAACGCCTTCTCCATTGTCAGCTGGATAGCCCCACATAATGACATTGCAAGCTTGGAGCGGGCTAAGGGACTCTATACATATATCTTGGCGACTTGACGTCAGCCAGCCTGCTCGATACTCAATAACACGGTACAGGAGTTACCCCCGTTGCATCCCCGACTACGCCTACACGATCTCTGTATTTCTCCCACCCCCTTCCAACTTCCAATTCTGGATGGTCATAAGTTGATCATCATTCAGAAGCACAACATCGACTACGACTGTACTCAGAGTAAGCAACAAGGAATAGATCTAGTAATGGCCTTGTTACCAAGCAGCAGAACTCCTGTATCCTCCTTGGGAAGGAATGGGAAGGGCCAATTGGGAAAACTCCTGGTTGTGGTGTTGCTTCTATTGATGGTGATGGTGAATCGACAAGGCATTCCTCTGATAGCCTCCTCCCCCGAACCACCCGATGTCGCAGAAGCCTTGAGCACTGCACACAATAGTCTGGCCAATCAGAAACCCTATCCCGTCCAGACACAGGCCACTCCCTGCGCCCAAAAATATTACATCAGTTAAAGAGTGAAAAAATGCTCCACGGACAAGGCGATGTGGATGTGCAATTGCATCATTATCTATTCAATGGTACCATGTGTGGTGGATCCTACATTGAATTGGGCGCCATGGATGGAACTTCGTTTTCCAATTCTTATTATCTCAACAAGGCATTCGATTGGAAGGGTGTCTTGATCGAAGCCACACCCACCGAGGCCGAAAAAATACCCGCCAACCGACCCAATGAAATTGCCATTATCAACGCCGGAGTGTGTCATGAACCACAGACGCTTCATTTTGTACACAAAACGGGGTCAGTCAATGGATTCTGGGAGTTTGCCTCTCCCGAATTTCGGCGGGGATTTTGGAAAGGGGTCAGTCTCAAACGAGACACCATTCCTGTGGAATGCCAAACTATGAGTCATTTATTACAACAACATGCTCCACAGATTCAACACTATGATTTGTTCAGTTTGGATGTCGAAGGAGCCGAATTGGAAGCATTAAAGTCCATCGATTTCACCAAAATTGGATTTGGAGTCATTGTGGTCGAAGCGGACGCCAGAGATAAACTGAAAGATCAAGCAGTGCGAGATTTTCTAACGGCACAGGGTTATGTCATGGTTCCCAAAAAGGTTCCTATGCCACCTGCCCCTGATGAAGATCATGTAATTCCAGATGACGAGTATCAGGAGTACTGGCCCAAAGCACAAGAATGGAACGACTTCTTTCTACACAAGGACTTTGATACCATTTACAAACAGTTTTCACGCCAACCGCGACTATAATCAAGAGTCAGCTCTAGCCACTAGCACAACCTCAGCTCTAGCCACTACTAGTATAGGATTGCAATGCCTGGCCTGTAAAGGAAGGGATCTTGCCTGTGCTGTGGAAACTTCTACTAGTTAGGAATGATCTCCCACATCAGAATGTTCCACCTACTGGCGGCCATCTTGTTCTCTCTCATGCACCAAAGTTTTTGCTGGAACGACCAAATCCAGGCACTACCTAGGCCTGGTACCAGTCTACTGAAATGGCTCGTGATGGACTCAAAAGACCAAATCATGCCCATCGGGACTCAGGTGGAGTCCATCCGAGAGGAAACGTTTCCAATTACCGTCGGCAGATTGAAATGCGTCCCACAGATTGATACAAGACACTTTTAGGTCCGAAGCAACTTGTTGACAGACCACTGTTTTCCAATGTCTGTTCCAAATTGGCCCACGATCTTGGGGGGAAAGAAAGAGTGGCAAATCTGCTTCCTGGTGGAACGGATCAATTGGTCCCGAATCGAATCGAATCGAATCGAATGATCCGATTTATTGATTCGATTAGTTGAATCGAATGAATCGAATCGACTTGCAAGTCAATGCGTCAAGGCCAACCTTTCAACAAGCAAAACCTGGTTTTCGCACTGTTGGCCATCACACGGCGACGGAGGCTGTTGGACCAACACTCCATTTTGACAGTTTCAGTTCAGACGAGAGGTGCTTCAGGGCACCCTACAATAAGCCAAGACTCAGGTGTTTGCCACCAGTCAAGTCTGCTTACCGTTCACACTGGCCTCCAGAGAGGGGTGACGCCATTTTATACGGTACTTAAAAATAGAAGGTTGTATTATGGATGCATCAGGTGGCAGTCAATCGGTGGTAGAGGATTCGGATCGTCAAAAACGATCATCCGCTCTGGTGATTACCGAGTCTGTGGAGATTCAAGAGACGACCGAGGGTGAATGTCAACCCTTCTTTGTTGACTTGAGTACTTTACGGAAACACTCTCAAGATCACCTACGAGATACCGGCTTGCTACCCTCAGAGGAAGATGGACACAATCTGGATGTCTGTCTATTACGCGAAAAACACTATGAGTATCTGTCTCGCGTCTTTTTGCCGTCGCGACAGCCCTTGAATGGCAACTTGGTCAGTCTAGACTCGAGTCGACCGTGGATGATGTACTGGACCCTCCATGGTTCTGATTTGTTATTGGTATCCTCCCAAGAAGAGGAAGACAACAATCATACAACCGGTACTGCTACGGCCGATGGAGCCTCTACTACATGTACAAATTTACTCTGCCAGAAGGTGGGAGAGAATGCCCTAACCGCCGTGGTTTCCACCATGGAAGCTTGCTGGCAATCCATTGAAATCACATTGCCACAGCATTTGGATTTGACTGATCAAGATCGAACGCTTCTTGAACCCAACAACAAGACCAATAATAATGGCAATAATCCACAGTCGTTTCAGGGTGGTGGATTTGGAGGTGGTCCTGGTCAAATGGCCCATGCTGCCACTACCTATGCTGCCATCTTGACCTTGTGCATTGTGGCAACGTCAGAAGGACAATCCTCGTCGCCCATGGCATGGTCACTCTTGGCAAGAATAAGAAAGCCTCTGTATGCCTGGTTCTTGTCTCTGCAACAATCTCATGGAGGTTTCCGGATGCATCATGATGGAGAAATTGATGTGCGAGGTGAGTGCAATATTCTTAATTTTGCTAACTATCGGTGTCTCACTGTCTGTTGCTGAATTTTATTATTTGTCTCATGGTTTCCTTTGAACAGCATCCTATACGATTTTTTGCATCGCCAAATTGCTCAATCTACTGACTCCGACATTGGCCAGTAACAACACTGTGGACTTTATTGCTTCCTGTCAAACCTACGAAGGAGGATTCGGAGGAGAACCATTCACGGAAGCCCATGGTGGATATGCCTACTGTGCCGTCGCCGCCTTGCAATTGGTGAACCGACTGGAAAAAATTGATCGGGAAGCACTCACAGGGTGGCTCTGTCGACGGCAGTTGGGATACGAAGGTGGATTCTCGGGACGCGCCAATAAACTCGTCGATGGGTGTTATTCCTTTTGGCAGGGTGGTGCCTTGGCCATTGTCAGTGCACACTACGCTGCTGCTGCTGTGGTAGTGGAAGATGAAATGGATGATCTCTGGTTGACATCTCCCCCACTCTCGTATGCTCTGCTGTTTGACAAACCAATGCTACAACGGTACATATTGCTGTGTGCCCAGGATGTCAATGGTGGTCTACGGGATAAGCCGTCCAAAAAGAGGGATTTTTATCATTCTTGCTACAATTTATCGGGTCTGGCCATGACACAGCACAGTGGCGATGATGGCAACAAGGCAGTGGACACCAACAATCAGCAACAGACAAATTTTGGCCATCCTGTCAAATCCCTCGTGGCCACTTCCCACCCATGCTACAACATTCGACTCGAGCGAGTATCCAAAGTCCTGGAGTATTTCAAGAGCTAGGTACATTATCATAGTTTCAAATAAAGAGTCAAATAACGTAGATTTTTACTGCTGCGTTCTAATCAGTGCTCGGACTTTCCGTGCATTCAATGACATGGACTTCTTCCTCAATTGGTGGACCCTCATCTTGTCGTCGTTGCACATCCGTGTGCACGAGGATATCCGAGTAGGTCTCTGGGATTTACATGTACCTTGTGGGAAAACTCCCTTCCTCCAAAGACAAACAACATTCCATTCCATTTGATTCGACCGCAAGGGCTCTCTGTCCCGATGGGCTGGATCCTGAAAGCCATGCCGGCCCTCCACCACACCCGGCGAGTACTTGCCGTGGAATGGACCAGTCGCGCTGTCAAGGTCACGGCATCCCCAATTCCAATGGGTTGCAAAAGAAACAAAGCTTCGTCCCTGGAATAATGGGCTCTCCATTGAAAAAGAACGATGCCGTGTACTGTGCCAAATTTTTCAGTTCCTCCATGACTAATCCACCAAAAAGTTTGCCATATTCGGGAAAGACCACGGTAGAAAGTTCCGTCCGCCACTCGAGAAAGATTGCAACTGACCGAGGCCCGGAATTCCTCTAAGGCATCGAGACGGCGATCGCAATTGCATGGCATGGGTCGCTCGTTCGTACTTCGTAAACGACGTATCTTAATGGGCCACTTGCACATACATGTAATGGTGGTAATGCCCGTCCCTCGTTGGAGACGAAAGAGCTGATATGGGCGACGCCGACGGACAACAGGATTGGAGGTGGCGGTTGTTGGGTATAGTCAGTGGCACCATTTTTCAATGTATGCAGTACGGCGTCCAAATTCCTGTTGAGGAAATCCTGCTTGGTCACCAACAGGCACTAGACTAACTAAAGGAATCCTTTTGGGTGAATTGTGTTTCATTCAAAACGTGGACGGTATGTGAATGATCACTGGAAGAGACAACATCCATGCAAGTGTCGCACAACAGCCGTTCGTAGTGTTTGATCTTGTTGAGACATATTACCGAGGAAGGTTTGATTTGTGCCGGCACATGGTTGTGGCGTTGTTCTGCCGTTGTTGTGTTTGCAGAGCGGTTGAGGGTTTTTGGTAGAGTAGTACCGTAGATTGTGGTTCTTTGAGGAAAATATCTTGTCTTTGTTGTTTCTGTTTCATACGTTTCTTTCTTGCCCGTTTTCTATTCTTTGGTGGCGCTAATACCTTGGATGTTGTGCTACTGGGCACTCTTGCTTCTTCTGTTCTTCTGTTGCAATAATATTTGTGTAAATGCTGCATGTAATGTTCTTGTCACCACAATCATGGTGTTGTCAATGGTACCCAACATCAACAAGCAACTGTTGAGAGACTTGGTACGAATGACCCAGCCTAGCCGATAGCTGATGGTAGATCATGAAAGCAGTGAGATGACCAACAGAACCGTCATGATGATCACCCACACATACATGGAGGAAAGCCATTCGTCGGGATGCCGCCATCTGCCTTTTTAAATTGATTGCTGCTGAATAATTGAATTCAAGAGGAAGGGAGGCAACAGAGCTTGCAACAGTCAACAAGTGAAAGATCCCATCGTGCAAATTGTGAGATGCTTCGGAATGATCCAAGAAGCGAAGCAGCCAATCGAGAACCTCGTGAAACAAGCCGGTGGAGCCGTGTTCTTGAAAGCCATTTTTGGTGGAAGCAGTCACAATCTGATCAGCAGCTTGATGAGAAGCCGAGAAGCCGCCCATCAATTCTATTCTTTACGCGACTGCATTCCTTCATTTCTTATTCGAGAAGAGTTAGTTTGTTGTCAATCAATGCTAGGATCCCACAACACACACATCAATCAGAGAAGCATTAGTATTATCTATCTAACTAACAGTAACAGTAACAATAGCCATGTCGACGAGAAGCATGAACGACAGCAGCAACCACAGCCAAGGTAGACGAAGTTCCTTTACCATGAATCCCATGGTCTGGCGTCAGGCACGGACGGTCAAAAAGGCAGCGGGGCAAGTGGATGAGTTCGTGACGGCCCTCACAGAGAATGCTCCTTTTATCGAACGACAGACTCCCAATTCCACCATTTCCGTGTGGCAACGCAGTGAAATCCAAACTGGAAAACTTCTAGGAGAAGGATCCTTTTCGCAAGTCTACGAAATCACCGTCTTTCAGCCACACACTAGTGACGCGAATAGCAATATCAAACCCCACGATGCTGCGCAACGCACACAACTGGAACAGCACTTGTTTGAAGAACAACACAAGTATGCGCTCAAACAACCCAAACGAGACATGCTCCGCAAAAAGCAAGATTTTAGCAAGGCCGTCAGTGATTTAGTAGTGGAAGCGCAGTATCTATCGCGATTCGATCATCCCAATATCTTGGCGTTGCGGGGATTGCCCATGGGAGGCACGGAAGCCTTTGAAAGTGGACGCTTTGATTCCTACTTTTTAATACTCGATCGACTCACCGACAGTCTCGAACAGCGCATTGAAAAGTGGAAAAAACAGAGTCCGACGCCCGATCCGGCATTGATTCCGCGCAAAACCAACTATGCACTCCAAATTGCCAATGCACTCTTGTATTTGCATCAACGGCGTATCATATACCGAGATTTGAAACCCGAAAACATTGGCTTCCTTGGCAAGCATCAAGCCCAATTGTTCGATTTTGGGCTCGTCCGAGAACTCCCCAAGGGCAATGCCTACGACGACGAACAATACAGCATGTCGGGAGCGGGATCCCAGTGGTACATGGCCGTCGAAATATTCATCACGGGCAAGTACAATCTCAAAGCCGATGTCTACAGTTGGGCCATTACCACCTACGAAATGCTCACCGAAAGTAAGGCGTTTGCCAACATGCACAAATTGCAACACGTCGCCATGGTCTGCGTGCAAGGCAAACGACCCAAATTGTCACTGCACAAGTTCCCACCCAAACTGGAAACGGTCATTCGTGCGGCATGGGGACAATCCGTGTCGGCGCGTCCCAACATGTTGGAGGTCGTGAGAGCGTTGGAAAAGATATTGCCCGAATTGGGTGATGAAGATGCATGTGTCTGGCCCACGGTCGAGCAGGACGATGGCACGTACGCAATGCCCAAGTCGCGACGTAAAAGTTTATTGGCGGAATCCAGTGACGACGAGGATGATGATGACGAATCGTTGGATGCCTTTGATACCACCTTGGATGCCGAAATCATGAAGGAAATGAAAGGCGGTTCGGCTGCTCGAGCACCAACCTACGGGGATATGGAAATGCACGAAAATGAATACTCGCTCAGTTCCATCATGTATGCGGATCATTGATAACAAATACAATACAAAAAAGAGGCAGTTCCATGACACGCCAACCCCATCATTGCTAGCAAGCAAGCAAGCGATCTCGAAAATGCATACCGTTGTGTGATTGCTTTACTTACTTACTTTTTCTAAGAAGCCTAATGCAGCTATAACAAAAAATCTATTCATATGATTGTGTTGTAGAAGTGCCTAGTCTGTTTGCGTTGGTATGTGTTGTTTGCGGTTGGCGGCGAAATTGCTGTTTGTGCTGCCTTTTTCAATTCTATTCTATGATTACAGTCCCCCAAACTGGATAGTCAGGGTACAAAAGATAACGGTATCTCTTGATGATGATGATTGATGATGATCAGGATGCAAAGACGGGAACTCCTGCCAAAGTGCTGGCTACAATGACACCACCACTCAAAGAACACAAAGCCGCCACAATGAGAAAGGACAGGACCAATCCAGTGGTAAGGCTCTTGGAACCATGACATTTGTGCTTCAAACAGCCCATGGCGCGCTCTGTCAGAGGTGTCGCTGCCAATGCCACGCTAATCTTGACAGGTTTGATAGCTACATTGATCGCCAAGAATCCAGAAAGGACCGCCAAGAATGGCTTCCATTGACCAGGAGCAATGGGACTGACACCTGTCCGGACCGAGAACACATACCAGGCGCAGGACAAGAGAGAAACGCTGGAGAAGTTTCCCAAGAAAATGTACGTGGCAAAGGCAGCGAAACCCTTCTTGGCCAACTTTTGCTTCAACGTGACGCCGTCTTCGTCGTCGGGGGACAAGGAGGTTCGCACATTGCCCCACCAAGATTGGATGTCACCAGTCTTGAGCGTATCATCGGCAGTGTTGGATGGAATGTCATCAATGGAGATCATGACCGAAGGACGATGAGTGGTCGACAACCGCGCAAAGGGCGCCCAGCGTGTCGTTTTGATTTGGGCGCCTCCGCTGATATTGACTGCCGATCGATCGTTGGAAGGCGATGCAAAGGCGGAAGCCCTAGTATCGCCAGACACAAGGCGCGCCGCAAGAAGAAAGGAGACGCAGAAGGTAGAGAGCTTCATGTTTGTTTGTTTGGGAAGGCAATGCGATTGTCGCTGGCGGAGAAGGAATAGAGCAATGCTACTTCTGGCAATGCTAAATTATGGGTCCACGGTTCGATCTTTTTGATGTGGACAGGTTTGAAGAGAATTTGTGAGCAGGGTACGATCATCGAACGAATCGGTGAAGTCGAATGAATCGAATCCTGTTTTCTTTGAATTTCACTGGTACACGTCTCCCTTGATATTAAGATACATCTAAGTTTGCTTGAATACTGGGGGAATTTTAGCAATTTCGCAGATATTCCTACTGACCTTATATCTTAGCTTAGGATCCATCACCTGGGTAATGCAGTATCTTAATTAATAATCTGATTAGGAAGAGAGTGCTATGGGACATTTATAATCTGCTTCCCACCTTACTCAGCACACCCCAAGGTGAAGAGAGGAAAGAGCCAGTTTATCACCTGCCAGAGGCAAATTTTTGACTTTTGGCACCTGTTTTTAAGGCATTTTTTGGATGAAAGTGTCATTGTATCATCTCTCAATCTCTTATGTGCCCAGGGGAGAGTACTCACTGGGTATCTTCGCTCTGGTGCAGATCTGGGTGTCTCTAGAGTAGTATCTCAGCATTCCAGGAAAACTCTCTGTACTCGACATCTCATCTCCATCTCTCTTAGTATCAAGGGAGGAGTGTATGGTTCTGTCAACTCCCACTTGCCCCTGGTGAACACGGTGACTGGTGGTCGAGTGATGTAAGCTTACATGACTGATTGAATGCCAGAATGCGTTCTACTCTTGGGCCACGCTTTCGTGCAGATCATGCATTGTCACTGTACTTTTGTTGCAAGGCATCCGATCTTAAGTCTTGCACCAACACAAGGCAACAGCGGAGGGAGTGGGTATATGTAGAGATGGTTGATCATGGTTTCCTCCACATCCTCCTCAACACTCAACCTGGCTCCAATACTTTCTTTGGCACCTTGACTGCAACTGGTTCCAACTATGAATACGGGAAGAAGGATTCCTCGCTTTCGAAGCAAACCAACAAGACGCATTGCTGTGTGGGTCAACGAAAGTGAAGACGAAAACATGGTACTAGCTAGTACCAATAAATCAAAACCTACACAGTGTACGGTGGCTAGAAGCCCTGTAGAAATCGTTCTATGTACCGTAGTTGATCCATGCATGTTTATGTGCAGTTTTTGCAGCGCTACCGGTGCGTAGAACACCCCTCAGATGCCAACATCCATCCCAAATGCTCAGCTGCAAACTTATTTCATCTAATCATCATATCCAATCCAAGCTCATTTAGCACACATCACCGCGCAGATATCAAAGGGAACATGCAGTAGTCGTGTCGTCGCTTCATCCAACCGAGCTGCAAAGCTTCCAGGGGCAAATATATGAATATTTTCCAAACAAGCAATTTTTTTTTACGCAGCCTCGACATGCTTGCGGTACGTGATGAAATCTTGGACCAACTCGTCCGTGTTGACTTTGCCATTGGCCGTTTCATCGGGCAAGAATTCCTCGGCTCCGTCGGCCAAATGCGCCATCATTTCTTGCTCTTTAATGACAAAGACCTTTTTGCGGAAATCGGAGGCCAACATGGGTTTCATAATGGCCCAAATTTTGGCAAACCAAGACGGTGGATTGACAATGAGAAAGAGTCGGACACGAACGGGGACACGGCCCTGTAACATCATCATGAACTGGTAGCAGTAATTCACGTCAAAGTTCTTCATGGTCCTGTCATTTTTAGAATAAAATAAATGATGGCGTGGGTGGAAATTATTGTGAGTGGGGTATCTTTGGTGCCATCAAAATCACATTCAGATAAACATGTATGCATATATCTCACCAATCGTTCATGTTCGCCAAGAATCCAATTCCCTCGGTGCATGCTTTTTCCTTTTCCACCATGGTGGTCATGCAGTATGCCAAATTGTCAATAATGTCTTTGACGGATGTTTCCTTGTGAAAGTACCGCGAGGGCCGCATGTAGAACATGTCATGTCCTTCACTGGTCTTGAGTCCAGGCACTGGAAAGAGGGTCTTGGACGCCAATTGCTTTTCGAGGTCGGCCGCTTTGATGGTCGAGTAGCGAGGATCAAATTTCTTCATGACCTTCCAGGCCGCCTTTTCGTTGAACTTTTCCTTGCCTGGACTGCAACGGGCAAATCGAAGATACAGTTCATCCGAAAAAGCAGGATTCTTCTCTTCCCATTTCTTCTTCAGATTGTCAAAGCATTCTTTTTCTGCGGGGGTAAGTGCGTTGAGTTGTTCTTCGATGGATCGCTCGTCTTTGGGAGCAAACCGCATAGGACCGTCGCCAAGAGATGACATGGTTAATTGACTTTCGAATCTGATGGATAAAACTAAAGCAATGAAGGAGTCCAATCGAGCCTGCGAGAAATGATGCGGGGAGTGTTTTTCGGTAAGGTCTGAGAAGCAACTTGGAAGATCCAGCCACAATGGCTCCAACAGGAAATTTGCTGCTCTTTTTACCTGAGCAGCTTTCGTCAAGAACGCTCTCCGCGAAACTTCGAAAGATCTCAATTCTACGGTATCCTCCACCCTACTGTACCACCGACCAAAACTGTACTGGTACGTACCGGATAGTACGTAAACCACTTTAAGTCCTGTTTTGCAGGTCCCTCGAGACGAGCCAAAGGTCTTCACCTTGCTTCTGTGTTGCCTGATGGTTATTAGAAGCCCAATGCATGCATGATCCAGCGTTGTCTTCAGCTCTGCGATACGTAGCAGCTTTTGTGCAGGTTGCTGTATAATACACGGTGAGTCTTCTGAAGGACTCTTGCATCATCTGCAAAAAGGCAGAAAATGCTTGTCGCTTCGTCTTCCCCGGGCGAGGAACCGAGTATTCCCACTAGCTAGGGAGGTACCGTACTGGTAGGATTGCACGAGGCAATCCATTGACTTGAGTCCATGATTCGCTCTGGCTGAGCTCATAGAAGCGGAGCCACCACAGTAGAATGGTAACACCGTTGAGTAACGACGCCACCACGGTGAGAAAGTTGTTGCGCTGCTTATCGCCTGGCATCATTCTCGAGGTAGGATATTGGGATCATATCTTTGAGACTTCCTCAAACGAAAACTGTGTCCTCCAGGAGATGGGGACGCAGTGCATGAATTGTACGGTAGTAAGGTAGAGAAAAGAATAAGTCAAAACATTCAAAACATGCATTACGTATAGAATCGTTTTATCGCCACTTCTGGTAGCATACCGGTACTGATAGCTAGCTAGCTAGTGCAAGCTGAAGCCCCCCTCGTTTCGAAAACAAAGCTCCAACAGTCCCTCCACAGTTTGCATCAGCGACCCCTGCTGTGTAACATCATTGTCGCTATCGGACTCGTCTTGCCGTCTTGTTGGCGAGAACATGTTTCTCAGGCTCACTTGTTGTCCATTCACTTCCATCTGGCAGCCAATGTACATGCGTTGCATGAGCTCTTGACTGAAGCTTCGGATACCCAGCAAGGTCAGGGAATTGGCACCTTCGGGAGTAGCATTGTAGAACCACACATCTTGACAGCAAACGGGGAAAGCTCCCAATGACAACTCGAGCCACAAATGGGTCAAGCATTCGGCGTTCTTCCAGTCGACACCACCACATTCCATGATCAGCGTGCATCCACTGCGCAATCCTTCCATTTGAGGGCACATACATTGGCTCATGTAGTAGATCGTTGCCAACAACATCTTCCAGTCGTCTTCTTGGTCATCTTCTTGACAAGCTGTCACACATTGAATCAAGGCGGCCAAGTCAATGACAGCAAAGTAGCGAGCGCCATCCTTGCTGTTGCCACAGAGGTCGATATTGAGAAGAACATCGGGAAACCTCTCGTGAAACTTGCCAAGAACGGCCATGCCCTCCTCCAGGGTACCTTGGATGTCATGCTGATTCTGAAAAGAGTGCATCTGGCGAATACTGCCAAGCGTTTCTTCCGCACCGTCACCCAAGGATACCACAGCCTGCCTGGCAATCTCCCAATCCGAAACCTTGAGGACGTCTTGACTCTCCCTGGCTGCCACCCGCAGCTGTCGAGCCCATCTCTGTTCCAACGTCGTTAGCACGAGGGTAGCATCTTCCTCCGTCCCATCGTCTTCGAACTTGCGCTTCCGATCGTTCCCGAGGTTCATGGTACTGTTGGCTTGAGAAACACACATCATTAGCTTTGATGAATTGTGAGAAAAAAGTTTATGAATGGAGAGAGCAAGAGCTATAATTTTGGGATGATGTTGTACGGTAGCTACCTCGGAAGAAGATACGTGCAAGTATGTAGCATGAGAAGTTAGTTTGGTAGTTTGGTACCAGCGTCGGTATTGTCAGAAAGGCTCATCTTTCCCATCCTCGCCGAGGGCTCTAAAAATCAGGAAAAGGGATTGAGAAAAGCTCGAAACGTCCAAGGGTCAAAGGTCACTCGAAACCATCCGAATACCACCTTATCATAGCAGACAACAAGAGAGACATCTATGATGAAAACAGCCACAACAAAAGCACAAAAGCAGCTCTATCATACTGTACTTGCCGAGATACATTCGATAGAGCTTATCAAAGGGCCTGCTCTGTCGCCAATCAGTACTCCAGGGTAAACTATCTATATCTTGTCAACAACCACCGGATCTATATCTAAATCTGGCCTTTATCTCACTCCTTTTTCTACCTTTTGTACAAGTTCTCCATCATCTTCCTCTTCTTGGCTTTGCAGCTCTCTGAAGACTGCTTGGACAAACCACACAGCCTAAACAGTTGGAGCGATCAAAACTTGAGGAGATGTTCAACCTGGCAAAATTCACTTTCGGAACACGTGACAGTAACTCCGCAGGCCCTTTTTGGCTATTGTAGCTCTATCGGAAAGCACGGACAAGAAATTCCTAGGCCAAGGGAAGCCTTTGTGACAGCTCTTGACACTGTGGAAATCCAGCTGGAAATAAGCCACACTGTGCAACAACTTTGTCCCGGAGTCTTGTGGATGTCTTCTGCAAAATCAAAGTCGTATTGGGGCATTGGGGCCCAAGAAAGCTACCAAGACCGTGTAGCTAGCTAGTAGATAGGTAGTCCGTACCACCGTCGGTACCGCGTTGAAGAGTTTAGAAGCTTCAGGCTTCAGGGCGTCTTTGAGAGGATGGAGCTGCGATGATGAGACCCTGCGTACATGTAGTCGTCTGAGGTCTGAGGTCCGAGGGAGCTCAACAGCCGGCTATCATTAGCTCTTGGATCTTGGATGCCCTTGAAACAATCGCACCTTCAAGCTCGTTAGTGGTCACCTGACAGTGCCAGCCACAGGCGTTACACGTACCGGTACAGTTTCAAGGAAAGCTCAATGAGCGCTCAACTTTTGGGATCCAAAGAGGCTATAAAACATAAACAATGATAAATGGCCACGAACCACAAAGGCACAGGCCACAGCAAAACCACTGAAATTACTCGAGTAAGTCAGTTTTTAGTGAAAGAAGGTTGAAGCTTGTTGCTTGCAGCTGCTATGATATCATTTTGGATGTTTATTTAAGCGTTGGGAGTTTGGAGGTTGAATCAAGTTATTCACCTCCTCTCAGTTCTAAATTCCACTGTCTCTTGGGAGCAAAAAGGAGGAAAGCACTGTCACACTATCACTACCTCCTGGAACCTTTTGTTCATTGAACATTGAGGGATCAAAGTGGTCAAACTACTGAGCTGCGCTGTCCTCGAAACCTCAAACCAGCCTTGAGCCGCGAGGAGTAGTCTAGCTGGAAGGTGGCAACTGATCTGGCAACCTATCTCGATCTGGCAACCCACAACAGCTCCCACAACCCAAACAATGAGGTCCAGCTGGGGAGGCTTCATCGATTTCGTTCGATTTGGCCTGCTGGACACTACATACATGGGCTACTAGGTACTATACTGAGTAGGTGGCACCAGGAAGCAAGTAATGTAAAAAGCAGATACTTGAGTAGCTCGCTTGTGCTTTTACGGTACAGTAGCTAATCCGTACTCCAAGCAAGCAAGCAGTTCAGCAATTCAGCCTTCGTAATCACCTCTGGCCAACAACTACCACCTACCGGTACTACAGGAGCCTAGCAAAGAACCTCCTTTCCTCATCAATGGGGGCCAGAATAATTCCGGCAACTGTCCCGTAATACATAGTCTACCTGGCCTGATCCAAGGGCGATAGACCGATTTGTCCTGCATTGGTCTGCTAGCTAGTCTAGTCCTGCCAACAACATGGGATCTGTGCACTGTACAGAGAAGGCAGGACTTGGGTTGGACTAATTATGGTAGTGCTGTAGTGCTAGCTAGCTAGCGAGACAATGGAATGATGCAGAAAGGGAGATCCTGCGGAGTGAGGAGCACTGGGCCTGAAGATCTTTCTACAGGCAACTCTTTTGATCACCCAACTTTCACATCTTACATCTTATCCTGTCGGTATTCCTCGTCATGGTTCGGTCTGTTTCCACTTCCAGTGGCACATGAGTGGCTGTATTTCGGTCTGCAAAGTTCGTTCGAAGACCGAAATTTCGTTGTCATCGGGACTGAAAAACTACCCACCACAACCCTCCAAAGTGAGTCGAAACGACTTTGTAGGGCCGAGAGCGATCAAATTTGCAGTCTGGCTAGCTAGGAGATCTACTAAAACAAAGTCTAGCGAGCTAGGTAGATGTGGTACTTCAAGGTACAGATACCGTAGCACCGTAGCTAGGTACTACATGCACGGTAGAGACAATCCATGGGGTTCCTAGGACCAAGGAAGCCCTACCGGTACCGGTACATGGTAAGCACAATCTGAAAACGTTTGCAAAACAGTTGGGTGTGTGTGAGCGTCAAGGGCTATCATGTGGACAACCATCCATTTGGTTCCAATGAGTTCAGAGACAACATCGCTGCACTGGGACAAGAACTGACCTTTAGCGGTGTTAGTGCCCACCATCAGAATGGTGTTGCTGAACGGGCATAGACACCTCAAAGAGCTCCTAGATCCTCCTATGAGTGCAGAGTGAGGTACGGGAACCGGTACGGTAGCTACGTCAGGAGTATCGTACAGGACCAGGTACGACTGTACAAACAATATTCATGTCTGGAGAAAGATTGCGCTGTGCGGTTGCAACTCTTCCAGCGCCTAACAAAATTCACATGGGCTTCCTCTAGCTAGAGGCTCCACTACATTATAGCCAGTTCGTACGTTATAGTGCCTCGCAATGGGCTCTGATGATGACTTCGGCCGCTGCGCAGTTGGGCTTGCCCATTGACACCATATCCGTTTTACAGATGTTGTTGTTGTTTTTGTAGGGCTCTGATGGTGATTTGCTTATTATTCATTTGAACTCTTCCTGCTTGGAGTTTCCATGGGGATGGTATCTATTATATTGTAACCGCCACTACTACTAGTAATTGAGTAATACTAACTACCGCGCTGCAGCTGCCAATTTCCTCCATCGCGTGATATCGAATGGTTTTCCTACGGCATTGTCTTCAATGATACGTCCCGTCTTTCCATCCAGCACTGCCAACCTTGGAATTCCCTGTACACGAATGTGTCCCATGAATGCTTCCCTTCCGTCATCGTCGTAGGGTATGGCCATCCATGGCATGGTGGAATAGTATTGATTGAATCCAGATTCATCATGATCGGCCGACAAGAATACAACTTCAATGGATCTGTTGGCGGCCCCCAAAGAGCGATACCAATTGGCGAGTTTTGGTGTGAATTGTCTGTGTGTGTTTTTTTTATAAATCATTTGCCAATGGATCGTCAGATGAGATGGTGGGAGGTATAAAGAACAAGTTAGTTTGTGACTTTTTTGAGGCTTTTTCAGTGAACCAAGCTAAGCTCACTATGATGAATCCACTTACCTGCAAGGAGGACACCAATGGGCTATACGGTAGAATAGTATTATAAAAGCACAAGAGATCAGGAACAATGAGTTAGAACGCGTACAAGACAAAGCATAAGCAGCCCAGTTGATTGAAAACCTATCTTTTGCTTTCTCTCACCTGAAGCATACAAGAGTATAAATTCTTTTCCTCCTAGGGCATCTTCCAATGAGACGGGTGGTTGATTGTGCTGTCGCAATAGTTGTCCCTCTTCGAGTGTAGATGAAAAGAGTTTCTTCATTCCTTCCGACAACCCCACTGCCACAATGGCTTCGGAAGGTGCCGAAAAGGGAATGGTTTCGTTGATTTCCTTGACATTGGTATTGGGTCGTACACGAAATTGGTAGCCTTCACGGCAGGTCAAATTCTTTTTTTTGACTTGCGTCGAACTCAACGAGGGTGCAATGGTAGTCCATACGGCTCCGCCTTGATTTTCTCTCATTTGCAATTCGTATCCTGCCGTCGCCTTTTCCTCACTGGCTTTCCAAGACACGTGGAGCGCCAAATGGGATCCAGCCGGAACCACCGTCGGGGCACTCATGCGATTGGATTCCTCCGCCGGTGTCAGCAATGCAAAGGGTTCCTCGTGGCTGATCCAATTACAAGCATTGTCACTGTTGTCATCGTAATCTTGTTTGGTGGTGACACGAAAGAAAAATCCAAATTTCCGATGATCGTGCAAATTCTTTTTCCGTGCTTGAGTGCCACTGAGCTTGTCCGACAGAGTTTCAAACGAGGAATCTTCCGTGTCCTTGCGATATTGCAGCACGTACTTGGTGGAGCTGGTGGCGTCGAGCGATGGGGGCCACGAGACGGTCAGCGAATCAGACGTTGCGTCAATGAGTATTATGCTATTGTTGTTGTCGTTGTTCGTCATGGTGATATTTATTGTTTGGTTGTTTCTTTTGTGAGCAAAGCTGTGATAATGGTAGGCTGATGTGCTGTGTTGTTGTTTTTGTTGCATGTTGCAGGGCTCGGCAGTCGGCAGTTGCTTGGGCTTGGGCTTGGGCTTGAAGCCTTCGGTGATGCGAAATGCGAACTGTCAAAATGAAGAACAGCATGGAGGCTAATCGATCTTTTGTGAGTCCCAGCTGATGGCTCAGATCAGTCCTGTACATGTACTAGTACATGACGCAGCAAAACCAAGCTCACAAATTCCACCAAAATGAGTCAAAAAATGGCTCCGATGAGTAAGTCAAAAAGTAAGTGCCTTGGGTAGAACGAGAAGATGATGTGCCATCACCCAGTCAGAGACCAGCATGCGAGACACTGACCTCAGGCAACGATTTTCGTAGCACACAGCTGTATCAAGATATCCATCGGACAGGAGACTTACGGCAAATGAGCTAGCTAGCTACTGTAGTTAGCTAGCTAGAATCGAATGATTCGATTCATCGAATCGTCGTCGAGATACGGAAGCAAGCTCCACCAGCGTTGCTCGACGTCCACCCATCAAGTCCTTCTTCTTCTTGAGTCGAGTCAGTTTGTTGGTTATGCACATCAACACGTCAACGGGGCCATCAGAAAAATGAAACGATCTCCAAAACAGAATCCTTTCGTGTTGTTCACACAATTCAATTGACAAGCAATTTGAAAAACAATCACTAATCAACCAACCAACCAAAACTAACTACCAAAATGAAGATCTCTGCCGCCCTTTTCCTCTCCGCTGTTGCCAGTGCTTCTGCTTTTGTGGCCCCTGCTGCAGTCAAGCACAACACCATGGCCCTTCGCATGTCCGCCGAGGAGCCAACATCCGCAGAACCAGAACAACCGGTTGTTGCCATGGAAATGACTTCTACCGAGGAACCCACTGTGGATGACTTTGTGCCCAAGGCTGTCGAAGCTGACATGAGCATGTCCATGCCATTCATGGCTCGTCCCATGGCTCTGGATGGATCCATGGCCGGTGATGTCGGTTTCGACCCGCTCGGATTTGCCAAATCGGAACAAGATCTCATGAATTACCGTGAGGCCGAAATCAAGCACTCTCGTTTGGCCATGTTGGCCGCCGCCGGATGGCCTTTGTCCGAAGTCTTTGACAAGAAGATTGCCGGTGCCTTTGGACTCACACCCGTGCTGGATGCTTCCGATCGTGCCCCATCTGTCCTCAATGGAGGTCTTGACAAGATCTCTCCTGCCTACTGGATCGGATGCATCTTGTTGGCCGGTGCCATTGATGTCTACGGCATTAGCCAAAAGGGCAAGGAGGGATACTTCCCTGGAAACCTTGGATTCGATCCTTTGGGTCTTTACCCCCAGGATGAAGCCGGACAGCTGCGCATGCAGACCACCGAGATTAAGAATGGACGCCTCGCCATGATTGCCATCACTGCCTTTGCCGTCCAAGAAGCCGTCTCTAAGCTTGGTGTCATCGACGAGACTCCACTCTTCTTCAAGCCCATCACTACCGTTGTCTCCGAGTACACCAACTCTGGATACATTGTCCACTAAGAGCGAGCTGAGGGTTCCTCTGAACACAGACACACTGAAGTGTACATAGATTGAAAAACAATGGTTCCTGGAGGGTTGTTTCTGGATCTTGTACATACTACTGGCAGGACAACCCCATTGCAAATAGATTGGAACTAACTTAAACTATAGTACGAACGAGATTGAATTTAAAGAAGTTGAGACTTGAGACTTTTGAGGAAAACTCAGATAGAATCACCCCTCTAGTGACCCCCAGAAGTGTGTATTCGTACGATGAACCAACACTGTAGACAAGAACACAGCCTGGTCTTCCCATCTGTCAGGAGTGTGATTGCTGGCATTCGTGCTGCCAAGCTAGGAGAAAGCTCTAGGAGACGACACAGTCTGCGACCATTGAAGCACGACATGTCATGTCAGTGATTGCAGAGCTCCTTGCAGAGCTCCGTCCGCCCCACAAGCACGCACCTCGACAGTACGAGAGACTGACTGTTTCTCACAACTTCTAGTCTCTCTGTCTCTCTCAGTCTCGTTCATGAAGAACAGAATTCATGATATCTTCCTCTCCATTTCGGTACATTTGTTCGCTCGACAAAGATGACGATACAATTGGAATTCTCAATCAAATGAATGAAAACGCTTATGGCAGCAACACACAGACGGAGATTCAGTGCTGTCAGCCTTTGGGCATATTGCGTTGCAGTGATACGGTGCCTGTGGGGCAGAATATTTGACTGGCATTGACTGGCACAAGCAACCGAGGCAAACGAGTGACACCCTTGCGCAGTCACTTTAACACAGGCCAGAGATCCTTCTCCCTCCTGCTCTGGGATCTTGTTTGGGAAAGACCAACTTGAGTACTGTACATCGTTGTTGAGCGATGGATGGAGCTTGGAGACCATGTACCTCCGGGGGAAGATGGAGGGGGGAGGGGGGCAAGCTTTCTTGCTGCGCAGAACGACCAACTCGAGCATGGTATCTGCACTTCGCTGGGCGATGGGAGGAGCTTGGAGACGATAAACTCGAGGGGAAGATGGAGAAGACGGTTACAAACTCGAGTGCTTTAGATTTCGGATCACAGATGCTAAAGGGTGCGGTGGCTTTTACCTCATATATAAGATCAATGTTCTTGGGCGACTCAGATTGCAAAGATAGATGTCTTGAAAAAAGCTGTAGAACTAATCAGACTTCCCCGCCAAATGAGATACTATGAAAGTTGTGATAGATACAGTAGCTCCAATGTTCTCTCAGGTATGAGCATCGTATACTCTGGAGTAGTTCATCATCCCCACTACTAGACTTTCAATTTTAGTACAATTTGGAAAGAGTTTCTGCCGGAAGCGTCAGACCTATTCTGTTGTAGCTTCCATGTCCGTGACAGGCCTGTTGGCTTGGTACCAGAATACATTTTTAAAAGGCAATCTATGTAGGGCTTCAAAATACTTGACGACCCTGAGATTTGATCAACCACAAGATGCAGTTATAGAATTTCTCATCCAAGATACTCAGCCAAAACTCCAAAAGAAATTAACTTGTAAGTGAGGTACCGGTATAAGCGCACCTCTCGAGAAAAGCCCAAGCACGACCGCACCGCTGGTAAGCTCCTTGAACTGCTGCTCGAACACCGTGACACTGCGGGAACAGTCCCCATGATCACAGCTATGCCATGCACCAGCCGTAGGTTTTCATAATCTCCGTCCTCGTTTTTCTCGCGCTCCCTCTCCTAGGATTGTTCTGGACCTTTACATCACGCGCCAATAGGATTCTGACTGAAGAACTCTGTAATTGAAACATTGAACAAATGGCTACCACCAAAAACCTCCAACACGATAACATGACCGGTGTCTCTGGTTGGAAGAAGCAGCTCTTCACCAAAGAAGATAGCATATATCTCCACAAGACGCTAGGCATGCTATGCTTGGTTTCCTTTGTCTGGAGGATTGTGCAAGTAGATGGCATTACAATGAAACACTCTGATATGGGCTTTGTTTCCCACCCAAAACTGACAGTTCCCACCATATTGCTGCATCTGTTTCTCAGCACGAGTTCCTTCATATTCAGGATCCCTGAACGCCGCATCAAAACTGGCTACAGAATCTGGCCAGAGTACAGGCTGCATTCTCTAGTTTTCCTATGCCGTTCATTGGCTTTCCCTCTGCTGCAGTACTATGAAAACTTGAATGGCCTGCCTCCAAACTATCTTTGGAATGTTGCCATAGTTCTATCAAGTGTCATGGTGGCAGATATTGCATCAGCATCAATGAAGTATCCATCTGGAACGATTCGTGGCTTTCAGACAAATAAATTGCTCAAGTTCTTCTTCTCAGCAGTGCAGTTTCATGCTACAGCTGCATGTCTCTATGGCGGCACTAGCGCCGTCACACGTCGCTCTGGCGTGCTTTGGATACACACCTTTGTCATTCAAGTAAGCAATCCCCTGATGTGATCAAATGTGCCACTGTATTTCCCCATCCTCACATTTCCTTGTTACTTTTGGAGAAGATGAATGCATTCCTGATGACACTCAGACGAAAGAACCTTCTTTCACATGAAGCTGGAATTGCTGCTTATGCGTGGATGCTTGGAGCTGGGTTCCTGATTGTGGTTTGGCTTCATGTCATGGAAGCATCAAAGGGTATGCAAACTATCCATGCTATCACTCTCACTGCAAATGTTGCTGCCATGCTTCGTCTGGGTCTTGGCATGAACAAGTATGTCATGTGGACCATGATGGGCATAGTAGTCAATCTGGTTATTCGTCCCATCATGCAGGGACAGAGCAATGGTGTGGTGTCCAAGGAGATGCTGAACATGGCTGATCCTATTTCAACAGCAGCACTGCTTTTCTTGGGGTTCTATAAGGCTGGTATGCTCCCCCAATTGTCCATGGTGTTTCAAAGAATCTCTTCAAAGAAGGAAGCATGATCACAAGCAGGTAATCGTGCACATTCGAGGCTTGCCGGCTGGAATACGGATGTCAGGTCTTGGAGCTGTCACATTCCAACCGTTGCAGGGTTGAGAAGATGGATACGGGTACAGTTGTAACTATATAGAAAGCTATCTTAGCTACTAGTATGTTTGAAGCTTCTTCTATGAGAGTGCCGATCCGAGTCACTTCGGAGGTGAGCGCTACCAGTGAGGAGCTGATTGAATCATTCCAGTGGTGAGCAACTGTGGCTGCCTCTTCTTGGTTCGGTTGACATTGATAAAACTTCCCTCCTCAAGACCCTTCAAGATCGTCTTGTCCGTAAGGTGCCGGGGGATTTGACATTTTAATAAAGAGAAAATTTCATTTTTCTCAAAATGTTTCACAAACCCTGGCCACTGTGTCGCTGCGTCATTCGTCATATGCAAGGCTCACATACAGTACGGCACAGACCTTCAAACCCCTCTCAATGCCCTTGACATCCTCTCCTCTGCACTCCCAAACCCCTTAGAACCCATCTTTTAATAAAGAGTTACCATGTCCTGCGCCTACTACAGCGAACAACGGCGTCGCTGCCACGATGTCTATGGAAAATTTGGTGAAGACTGTCTAGCCGAAGAGTTGCAAGAAAAGCGATGCCTATCCCTCCGACACTGTCGCGCGGATGCCAACAAGTATTATGGATCCCGCGTGGAAGGACTACCCAAGGCTCTCTGCTCGTCCTGGGCCGAATCCTTTGCCTTTGTAAATAATAGCAATGGTGATTTGAGGGAGATGAGTCTCGGTAAGGAGTTCGTAGAGCACCACGCCAACGCACGGCGATACGTCAACGAACGACCAAGTGTCAAAAAAGAGTGCCAGACAATTGCTCGAGACTTGGCACGGTGTCTGCAAAAAGCGAACATGACGAGAAGATAAGCCTTGACATGGATGGTTCTTTGGTCAGTTCTGCAGCCGTTTTGGAAGTTGAACGAATTATGGCAGCAATACGCAACAGCTTGTCCGTGATTTCCATCAGGGGTTGGCTTTCGAAAAAATCAAAATGCCAGATAAGTTACCCATGGATCTCCCGACCCCAAGAGCTTCGGGATCAAGGAAATCTGGTCCGAGAATTTGTTCGAGGCATCAGAGGATCCCTCGCCGTTTACACCACCCCTTCTCACTATCCTTGGATTGCTCATGATTGGACCCAAAGTTTTTAACAAGTTTAAATCCAATGAGAGGACTGAGCCTTATACTCTCCTTTTGAGCAAGAAGAAGATCAACCAAAAGAAGAAAGAGTTGGTTGATGAAACTACTACAAACTACCTGACATCCAATGACGTCATTTTGTCTGCTCTGTGAAGCTATGCTGGATGTGACAGCCATCCAAACTCAATATGTGAATATGCGGGGCAAAATTGATAAGCTGGAGCCAAACGATGCAGGCAACTATGCATACCTTTGCACATCTGTCCTGGATGCCAAAGATGCCGCTGGCAAACCCAATAGAGTTCGCCAAGTTACTGCCTCAGGCCAGAACAACATAGGCCCTTGGAAATCCTTCTGGCCAATCAGCGGGGGCAAATTTGTACTCAGCACCAACTGGGCTGGACAAACGAGTGTGCTTGATGGAACTGTTGCCCATGTCCCATCAAAGGGCTTCGTACGGGCAAAGCTAGCATCCAAACAAGCAGCCCATCTAATTGTTATCTTTGAGTATGACAGAGAAGCTTTGGGAATTGTGACAAGCTGTCCAATCAAAGAAGGTGGATTGCTCGGGTCTATACTTCTAGACTGAGAAGCTATCGTTTAGTGGACTTGTGGCAATTTAAGACCCTTTCCCCAGGTGAGCCACCGTGTGTAACCCAACGTAGTTCTTATGCCAACCACAGCATACTGAATCGAATCTGATTGAGAGCTTGGAAGGAGTCAACCAGGTTCTAGATAATGATAACTGATTGCAGTTTTTATGTTCATAGCTCCGAGAGGTGAAACGGCGAGAATACAAGAGGCACATTAAAGCCCTTAGGTCCACAGCCGAACTTTGCCTGTGCTGTCGTACTCTACGAAAACCCCAGCTGCCTCGTCAAACTCCAACTCTTGGTGCTTGGGAGACTTGCTCATTCCTCTGGCCAACCAACGGCATCGCTTTCAGTCGTTTTAGTGCTAATACTGTGACTGCTGTTGCTGCTGCTAATACTGCTAATGAAGCTTTCTGCTTCGCCATTGAATCGTTGTCCATTAAAACTCGTCAGCTGGGGAAATCCGTGATTGGTCCTTACTCTGCGTGCTCTCTGAGGTTCTGGGGCCAACCCAACCCCTACCATTAACGCTCTTGGGCTCAATTTGGGACTTCCCATTCTCGCTGCCTCGGCATGTTGTATCAGATGTACAATCTTTGTGTTTATGGGAGTGTCAACGCCAGCCACTTGTCCCAACCGGACCACCGCACCGTTTAGGTACTCGATTTCGGTGAAACGAGTGCCGTCTTCCAATTCCTGAGCCAACCGGCATCGATCAGGGAGCATATCTAAAGTGGATCTCATGACTGGAAGAAAGAACATGTCCCGAGAGCGCAAAAGAGACGACATGAGCTTCAGTTCAAGTTTGTTGGTCTCGTTGTGCACGGCTTGGATGGGTATATTGTGCGCGGCAAAGACCGCTCGGCATTCGTCAATGCAATATGCCAGAACTATTCTATATTCGTGTGCTCTCAGTGTGGCAACCACGGTCTTTCCGCTAAGTGCTTGGATTGCATTTATCATGTTCAGCTGTAGATTGCCGGCTTGTAGACGGGTAAAATCGTGTTTCACTTCGGGACGTACAGTGAGGACAGTTCCGCGAAACAGATCACAAACTGTCTGTGCAGAAGGCTGTTTGCCGTCGATAACAATGAGTGCGTCTCTTACTGCTTGGCCCACGGTGACAATTCTGGTTTGCCTATTCAGATCAACGTGCATCATGACAATGGATTCTATCGCTTCATAAGGAAGTTCCTTCCTCTCCATGTTGGAGTCCATTTCCATGTAGCTCCTTAGTTCCTCTCGGATGTGAAGCCCCGTTTGGAGAAAGAGTACTGGACACGTCACATTGTGCTTGCACAGCCACTCGTGCACTTTATGGTTGGACGTTCGTTTGGTTGCAACAAATACACAGGAAGCTTCTTCCAAGCAGGAAGGGTCCGTAGTGAACATCTTTCTGGCATCACTCGGTGTAATACTGGCACGAAAATCTGTATCGACGGTAGAATGAGCCGCCAGTCCGACATTAGATATGTGCTCTACATCCTGAGGATTGTGGACCAGAAAGGTTACCAGTGGTGTATGTGTATATGCCACTTCTTGCTTGGACCTATGGTGATGATTACTGCTGTGGCAGTTCATAAGGGAATCTCCCGCCACAAGGCAACAACCCACAAACCCTCCAATAGCACCAGCTCCAATAATGACGACTTGTGACATCATGCTGGGAATGCGCTCCAAGACAAGTGACGCATCTGAGCCGCAAAAAAAGCACCCCAAGTTTCGTTGAAACGAAAGGGAATGTCGAGACGGACTGGCAGCATTATTAGAGTGTGGCTGTGGGTGTTTTTGTCGGCATTTTTCTCGTTGAATAAGAGTGTTGGCGCTGTCCCAAGAATTGCTCCTTCCTCCTATTATTGATGCATCATCCTTGTCAAAACTACCATTATCATTGTCGGCAGTACATCGTCTCAGCATGCTCAATACTCGCGTATGGTAGCCAAATTAGAAGTACGGAGCTGATTGATGAGAGTGGAGGAGCATCCCTCCATATTACAGTATTCAAATCAACAAGTGCGCGGCCCAGATCGATTTGAAGCCTTCCGAGGAACGGCTACATGTATTGGATCTTTCAGACATGGATACTGCATCCAAGACTGAATGTCCCTGAGGTCAATCACGAAAAGCCACCACAACGCCACCGCACCACATGCCAGCGTCTCTTTGTCTCTTTCCTCCTTCAAGTTCCGCCGCTCCGTGGTGTTATATGTACCGTACCAACTCGTACCGGTAGCAGCAATGGCTTGTCGATCCCTTCGGTCCCTGCTTCGGGGTCTTTTCCTAGCCCTCTCATTGATAGTTTCATGCCAGGCGAAGCCAGACAATGTTGAATCTCGAAGATTACAAGATCCAGAATATCTGGCGAGTCGTTATGAGGATTTAGTCGAGCTGTTGGTGGGGGCGGGTATCAGCACCCTTGACGATTTGACTGACGATCAATCCAATTCTCCTCAGTTTCAGGCTGCCATATGGATGGTTCTTGACGATGCTCGCCAAGTGGATTTCGACAGGCCCGAAAAAGTTGTACAGAGGTATATTCTAGCCACGGCCTTTTACGCTCTTGAAGGCGTTGGTTTTTGGGGCAACCGATTAAATTTTTTGTCTGCCGACCATGAGTGCAAATGGTACGTATCTGGATACTATTTTGGTCGAGATAACCTTCAACAGTTTGGCGTCAAATGCAACAATGTCGGGAAAGTTCAAGCCCTCCATTTCCGTAAGAAAATCAAATTGGTTCTTCGTTAGCCGCGGCAATGACTCGACTCAATACTGTTTTGTTGTGTGTTGCTACCTGTTTTTCTTGAAACAGCCAGCAATTACTTGCGTGGCCAATTCCCAATGGATCTGGCTCATTTGACAGATTTGGAGGAGTTCAATGTTTTTAATAACCCTTATTTGAGATCTGGATTTCCTTCCTTTTTCGAGGGAATGGCAAACATCAAGTACATTGGGCTGCATTATTGTGATCTTGAAGGAACTTTGCCCACGTGGTTGGGCGAGCTGACTTCTCTGGAGTCCCTTATGTTGTCAAACGATCTTTTTACGGGGCCTCTACCAAATATGACAAACCTGGTCAATTTGACACACTTGTATTTGGATGACAACCTTCTGCTTGGCGATTTGAGTGTTCTCTCCGGATTATCCAACCTACGTCATCTCATATTGGAAGATAACCAATTCGAAGGATCCCTTGATGAGTCGCTGGTCGGAAGCTGGGAGAACCTTGAAATTTTCGACGTTAGCGGAAACAATCTGACATCCAGCATTCCAGAGAGCATCTTCACCCTCCCCAAACTTTGGGTTGCTGATTTGAATGGGAATCTTCTGTCTGGCACTCTTCCAGCCGTTTCGGAAGCCAACACCGCTCTTGAGATCTTGACGCTAGGCGGGAACAACCTCAGCGGGGAAGTCCCAAGTGAGCTGGGCCAATTCATCAGCATGAAACAACTGGATCTATCTGACAACCTATTGACATCTACCATTCCTTCCTCCTTGGTAAACATGGTGGATTTGGAATTCCTATACATCAACCAGGTGAGGGGTAAATGGAGACGGCGTCAACTGCAGCCAACCTCCGTCAGCGTCAATGCTGAACCATACCTATGTGTGTTCACATCTTCCTCTCTCTGTCTGCCCTGAAACCAGAATCCGCTTGCACCGGATCCCATCCCTGATTTCTTGGCTGAGATGACCAACTTGAAGGAGTTATCCTTGAAGGACACTGCTCGGACGGGGTCAATACCCCACATGATTGGAAACTGGGGGTCTATGGTGTTTTTGGACCTGGACAACAACGGTTTGACTGGAAACATTCCAGCTTCCCTTGGCATACTGACAGCCTTGCAATATCTTTTCTTGAACCGCAATGAGCTCAGTGGCTTTGTGCCGTCATCACTGGAATCTCTGTCGAATCTTGGTAAGGTCAAGTTGGGTGCTTGGTTCAACACCTTCACAGCTCTTCTGTCTAACACTGATTGATTTTTTAAAAGCCTACTTCTTCATCGACCAGAACAACATTATAGGTTCTCTGGATGAAATCATTTGCGGCATTGACTACCAAGATATATTTGTGGCTGACTGCGGTGGAGTGGCCCCAGACGTGACTTGCTATTGCTGTAACATTTGCTGTTCCGATGCTGACACGGGCTGCAATAACCAAATTTGGACCAGCGTCGTCAACCCCATCTGGGAACTTGGCTTTGAGCTTCCAGGGCCACAAAACACTGAAGGGTCACAATCCTACACAATATCTGGTTTCTTTGGGGAGCCACTCCCATAGCACATTCCCATTGCGATGCTGTGCTCCTGAGTTCATGAGCGGTTACTAATGATGAATGATATCAAATAGATTCAATTGGGCGGCGATGAAGGGACAGGTACCAGAACGGTCATCTTGTTTTATTTACCGTGCTGCTAGCTTATTTGGTTTAGTTAGAGGGCCCCACCAAAGACTTAACGTAACTTCAACCTGCTTGACACAAAAGATTCGTACGGTCCACGACACAAGATACACCGATGAGATACACCTCAAAGTGATGCCTGGTGGTAGCAGCCACAACTATCTGTCTTGTAGGTCCTGCCAATGTTTCATTAGGCCAACTCCATGACGCATCAGTCCGAGCGTTTCTTGCGCTTTGGACGCCTCCAGCCTCGTCTGTGGATGCTCCTTGTGGCTGTCACGGTGGTATCCAATTGCCAAGCAAGCAGAGGAGCTGCCTCCAATACTGCCATACAATCGTCCACACATTCCAGGCGTTCCCCTCTTGATCGGTTGAAAAAGTTGTTGCTGAAACCCACTTCCACTGATCCGTCGACGGAAGAAATTATCAGCAACAGCAGTGCATCTTGTGGCCTGAGCCGTCGTCTTCAGAGCCTTTGCAGCAGAAACTTTACACTTTCGAGTATTTCATGGAACAATCGCACCGCCGTCTGCCATTTCCCGGCTCTCTGGGGCGCGGTCCGATCCGCCGTGACAAACTACTCCTCAACAACCATTATCAAGGTATCAGGACCATCTGCTGCCGCAGCCCTAGCGTTGCTTGCATACAAGGCTCATGTTGCAAAAACCCAAAGAGCGGTACTGCCTCGGTATCGGAATCTGCAACTCTTGTCTGCCGTGACAGCTGTGGATAATGCTGACGGGAAGACACTTCTTCTGTTAAACCAATGGCTCAGTGTTAATAACGAGCGCAATCCACCGGCTTTGGTGCCCATCCATGTTTCAGAGGACGAAGATGAAGATATTCTGGTTCTATTATGGAATGGAACCAAAGACAACTCCAAGGCTGTGGGAAGAATACCAAATGGATGGTACAGCACCTCCTCCAAGGACAGCAGCCAAACGCCAAATGCAACCAACACCAACAATAACCTGGGTTTATACATTCAAGTCAGTGATGATCAAATCGCCGTTTTTGTGGTGGCGAATGACGTCAAGAAGATTGTAGAAGAGCTCGAGGGCACTGATTGGGTTGCCTATGTAAACCAGTTGTTACCCGAGTATGACAAGCAACGCTATTGTCGCAGAGAACGTGTTGCCTCCGAAGAAAGCACGGTGAAAAAGTTTGCATGGCAAAGCTGGCTCAAACATCAACTCATGCCGGCAACTAATAATGAAGAGGAGGACAGCTCGTTGACATCCATCTTTCCCAACCCGGGAATGTACACCTTCCTTTACCGAGAAGCCGTCAAGGAGAGTGAATTGGGGAACATGTTGAAGCGGCGCTGTGCCCATCTGTTGTCCAAACGTTCGCAAATCACAAAGCCATCCATCATGTTCGTTCAGGAACCGGACGAAAATACTTGCCAAAATTCCACCACAGATGCTGGCCATCGCTACTGTCAAAGATTTCATGTCGAAGACTCCGGACGGATGTGGTATGGAGGACTGATTCCCTTTCGGACTCGACTCGATGGTTGGATTGTGCCGGTAGAAGAGCCAATTCCAGAAGCGCCGATCCCAGTCAGCAACAGCAACAATCATCAAAAGTACTTTAGTTATCGGCCGCCTCCTTCCCCGCCAACGCTACCACCATCACCTTCACCACAACGCCAGCTGCGCATTGAATGGAAGTCGTTCAGAATTCAGTTTGGTTTCTCCTTCTGTGGCCTCAACAGGAGGAAAGAACTGACCATGGAGGAAGATCCGTGGATCGTTGAGAAACGCCATCTGATGGTGTCGGACTGCAGGTCCCAAGTGGATGATGATGATGATGATCCGCTCCGAACTCCGACAACGAGGGTGCTACTGCTGAGTCGACCTAGACAAGGCTGGAGTGTTTGGCGGCAGTCGCTGTGACGCTGGCACTTGCTCACTATAGACTGCTACAGCTGCCAATCACACCAAGATAAATCACCCAAATTCACTTCACAGGAGCCATAGCTATACATGCATGACCACGGTTCGCTTATCACTACAAAGAAACACATATGTTGACCTGGAAGCTCCTTCTTGTGCAAATGAGTGATTGGATAGTTAGATGTCTAGATGACAAGTTTCACGGCATAAATAGCTGTGCTGGTGCTTTCTACTTGCGGGTTATGCTGATAGTGACTACCGGTATGCTCCTGTTTGCTGCTTTTGGTGTGCCTCCTTTTAGGCCGAATCTGTATTTCTTTGGGTTGATGAGCCGCCGACTGCGGGGGTTGCCGTGATTGCAATGACAGACTCAATGTAGCTTTTCCTCAGAGACATCCGATGAAAGAAATCAAAGCTTTGTCCTTCCCTCACGTTTTTCCATGCATCTTTTAGAAAGTCACAGAGGGACTGAACTGATCCTGGTGTTCTATTATTGCGCCTACACCAGTGCCGTCTGCGTTTGGGTATCCGATGATTCTGTTTTCTCGATGCTTTCCGTGCTTGGTCTCTGTTTGTAGATTACTCGTTTCAAAAAGGCCGCGATATCACAGAGTTCCTCGGCACTGACACCATGTCCCATTTCATAACTCTTGGTGGTGGTCGATTGTACTCCCTGTTGGAGCAATTTCTTGACACCAAAGAATTGTTGTTCTGGTTTGACCGAATCATCAAATTGCCCATGACCCCAAAAGAGGGGTGTCTGACACGCTGCCGGTGTGCACTGCAACTCTTGTCGTAGTGCCAACCATCCCGACAATGCAATGCAACCGGCAAATGGTTGTTCAATTGTTGTGTCCCCATACGCCGTGGACAGCGCCAAGGTGGCTCCCTGTGAAAATCCCCCCAGAACAATGCGGCTCTTGGGGATTCCTTCTGCTTCGAGTTTGGCAACTTCGTCTTGTATTTGTTGGACGGCTTGTCGAATTCCCTGCTTGTCATCTCGGACACCGACCTTGACGGGCCAATCGTACAGGTCAAACCAGCAGGGGAGGCATTGCCCTCCATTAATGGTACTGCAGAGTCGAGGCGCCGATGGAAAGACAAATTTAATGTCTTGGGACAAAGTTGGATCCAGTTGGGATAATCGGTCTTGAATCAGAGGGATACAAGTCTGAGGAGAATTTCCCAGGCCATGGAGAAACACCAGGGCTGCCTTGGGCTGTGATGGTGCTGGTTTCTGTGGACCTGAGTAATCCAGAAATGCCATTGTCACTGGAAGAAGTAGGAGTAGCAGTAGCAGCAAAAACACCCTTGTCATTGTCATGATTTTGAGCAGTGTCATTGGGATGGAACAATTTCTTTGAATTCTTTGAAAACCGGATTCTGTTTCCCCTTGTGTGTCGTTTGTGGATTGATGATTGATGATGCAATTTCGATGTCAACAATGCAATGATGATTGTATCAAGAATGTATTCTGTTCTGAAATGATACGAGTACATGTACGACGTCCACCGTGCACAAGCGTAGTTTGGCTCAGTAAGAAGAACAGTGGATGGATACTCCACTCTTTATCAGAGTTCTGTTTTCTGATTATGCAAGCGAGGAGAATCTATACCTCATTGTTAGAGGAACGAGCCAGAGTGATGAGAACACTGAAGGCCTTTTCGGAACAGAATTGTTGGCATCATGCGCCTTCAAAGCTGCCATCATCAAAGATTTGTAAGGAAAATAAGGTCGCCTTGTGCATTCGTGATTGGTAGTCACGGACTGACTCAGTGATGGCTTTGGCTTGCCTTGGTGGCAAGTCCAAAAAGAAAACAACGCAAAAAAGAGCAATGACGAGGCAACCATGATGATTCAGAGAGGAACTTCCACAAGTCACAGCTTTTCTTGCAGGAACCACCCATATCATAGATATCGGTAGCCCTGGAAGCAAAGGTACCTTACTACACTCTAACTTGACGACAACATGGTGCGGCTTTCTTTTGCTTTCTTGCTACTCTCAGCTATTCAGGCGGGAGCCTTTGTGCCCTCTCAGTCATCCACCAAGTCAGCCACAACACTCCAGGCAAACTTTTTCGAGCAACTCACCAAACCATCCACTCCCAAGGTGGCCGTCCCGGAAGATTTTGTCATTCCCGAACCACGGCCACTCGCCATTGCCGAAGGGACCGATATTGGCAAGTTCTTGTCGGCTGCGGCAGCATTGGCCGCTCGCCTTGGCACCGGTGCATTTGTTCTGGGATGGCAGATTGATGACTTGAATTACCAAGGAGAGGGATATTCCTTGAAACTCGGACCCCTTAGTCTGCGAGATTCCAGCTCCATCTTGACAGAGGCTCCACGACCCGACAAACCACTCATTTTGTACGCCTACGATGCGTCACCCTACTGTAAGATTGTACGAGAAACACTCAATCTGCTCGATTTGACCTTTGAATATCGACCTTGTCCCGGGGCCAGACAGGGCAAATTCTCGCAAGAAATGCTTCAAAAGACAGGACGACAAACCGTTCCCTTCCTCGTGGACCCCAACACCAATGTGGAACTGTTTGAATCCGCCGACATTATCAACTACCTCGTGGAAACCTACGGTCCATCCCCCGATTCCTTTGATCGCAAGGCATTATGGCCCATTACCACGCAAGGATTCGCCGTGGGGACAGCCACCACGGCCGCCATTCTCTTGGACATGCCGGGAGCCCGGCGACAGGCCAATGCTCGACCCGACAATGAAGATATGCAGTCTCTCGAAGTATGGGCATACGAATGCAGTCCCTTTTGTCGTCCCGTTTTTGACAAGCTGTGTAGTTTGAGCTTGCCGCATCGAGTTGTCAGCTGTTCACGAGGATCGGCCAACCGGGACAAGCTCTTCCAAAAGACGGGGCGATTCCAGGTGCCCTACTTGGTGGACCCGAATACTGGAGTGGAGATGTACGAAAGCAATGCAATTGTGGATTATCTGGAGAAGACGTACACTGTATAGTTTCGTAACGTTACATGTAAAGTAGTGGAGCGTGTTTCTCTGTATGCATCTTCGTTTGTAGGACGAGAACGATGCACATTCCAATCAGATGCACACAGTTAGTTGAAAGCAAGGCATGCTGGCTACTTCCGGTATGGTAAATGGTACCGTTTTGACCCGGAAAATTTTGCGTCATTGGAGGGGGAGGTGGTTTATTTTAAAATCCACATAGTAGCCGATAGCCCAGACTGATTGAGAGTTTTAGCCATTCTCTTCTAATACACGTAGATTCTCCAGTAACAGCCAACATTCATTTCAACTCAACATCAAGATGGCCAAAGAAGACAAGAGACGTCGTTTTCTAGTTTGATGGTGGAAGCCGTCAGTACTCCATTGTATGTTGCATTTTGACTTCTTCGGGGTCCTGAAGGACCGCTACAAATGTGACGCCGGGGCATGAACTCTTGGAAGGGTCGAAACTAACAGAGTCGGTGCTTGATTCTTCATCTGATTTGTCATCGTCGCTCTTGACGCTCTTTGATTTTGATGTGCTTCTGCAACAACCAAGCTTATTCTTCAATCCATCCTTTCGACACAGCAAGAACACCAAAATTGCAAACACAAGAAGAGCTCCAAACACGGACGCCCACATCCACAATCCTGGCGAATGTGTGTTTTCAAGTGTAGCAGTTGCCTCCCCAGCAATCTTGTCCGCCGTGGTGGCAGTCTTGGTTCGCTTGTGTTCCGGGATTTTGCTTTCGCATGAGAACAGCATATTGCAGTGGTCGCTTCTGCAAACACTGTTGTCAAAGCAGGCGGCACCATTTCGTTTCTTTCGTTCGCAAAGCTTGCCGGTCCTTCCCATCAGACCTTTCGATGCGCAAAAGTATCCGCCAACGCAATCTTCGTGCTCCATACAGCTGCCACAGTAGATTGGGAGCTCTCCGGAGGCATCCGTGCATATTCCCTTGTTACAGACACCCTCCCCGCACTGGGCAGTGTGCGCGCACGTGACACATGCTTCCGTCTTGGGGCTTGCCGTCGCGATCGGTAGGGGTCTTGGATCTGATGTGAGCGGCCTTACCTTTGGTGCCACAGTTGGTGCTGAAGGATCGAAACACACCATATCGTCCGCACAAACACCCGAGATGCAATGTGAATCCTTGTTGCAGGTTTCACCGTCCTTTAACTTTAATCGGCATATCGATTGGAAAATTCCATCGCATCTTCCGGTGGAGCATTCACTATCATCGTCACAGATGCAATCGCGTCCAAGCAGACCCTCATCATTTGTGCATTGACCTTGGGCGCAGGTCGATTCCTTGGCATACCCGTCACAATCGACGTTTGTATTGCAATTCCGGCAGAACGCTAGTGCGATTTCTGGAGGCTCTGTGGAAATAGAAAGGGAGGAAGCAAGTGCTGCACCTCCAAGCAGAATCGCCGCAACTAGTCGGGCCTTTTGAACCAGTGCTGTCATTGTCTTTTGGTCAGGTTGCGTTTCTTGTTAATATGGGCACCGGTATGACGGAGTAATCTGCTCGATCGTGTCAAAGAGGTTTTGTCGCTGCACACCACGAAGAGTGATCCACTGGAAAAATTTGTCCGGAGAACTGGATCGGTTTATAAAGCTAACTCAAGATCCATCCTCGGCAACAACAGCAGCTGGCTCGTTGCCCGGGCTGCTGCGGGATCCACGTCGACGCGAAATATCTTCACTCCCTTCATTCGAAACACCGGTACTGGGACTCTCGTGCCAATTTTTGTTACGGGAGTTGATCATCATCCACGCAAGAGAACCAAAAATTGGGCGAGCCTCGCAGAACATCGTGACCCTCAAGAACTCGGGCGTTACACCCCTTAGCTTAGGCGTCACACCCCTCACACCCCTCGCTAGCTAGCTAGGCTAGCTAGCTAGCTAGCTAGCTAGTAGTGGCTAAGCAAATGACGCTAGCTTTGTGCGTTCGAGTTGTGGTGTGTCTGACGAAATAAAATAGGAGGTCAAAAAGGAACCGTTCCTGGTTGCCGCTTTATTAAAAGCATGACTGCTACTAGACCCTCTAGAGGGCGCGACTCGAGCAACAGCACCCTTGCAAGGAGGAAAATGCATGGACTGCGAATCTCTTCTAGTTCCAATGCTTCGCTCTCCAGTGATAAAAGCGAGAGTGTTCTCGCTGTAGAGGTTACGACACTTACATTACAGTACCGGTAGCCGACAAATCATACATGGACGGAACCAACCATCATGTAGTCACTGCGCAATATGATGTCCAGCTCGGGGTGCCTTCCTGCGGTCAATATGAATACAACGACTCTCGAACGCATGCTCACGATCTAACCAACTAACCGCCCATTGCATTCGTCGTTGTTTTGTCGTGACGGGAAACATCGCGGTAGGCAGCAAACTCAGGCATGCTGCTGTAGTGCAAGGCTCGGAGGCGAGAACAAACGCCAGCATTCATCGGGACGTGACGTAAACATCCGCTGCGAAGGTAGTAGGTTGCTGAGCTACGAGAGATTCTGTCGAAGAAATATGAAGCAAAAGGGATGTGAGGAACAGGAGAACGGGCCATAGGTGCGTCAAGGGTATCCACCCATTAGCAAACTGTATGCAGCAAAGTTGTCGTGAACGTACCTGATATCTTGGACTTCCTATAGGAGGCGACGTCCTCGTGGACACGGGCAAGCTTGCTTGACTCCCGCCACACAGGCCAAACAAGGAGACCAAGTGGAGAGCAATGAAAGGCAATGATATGTTAGTGCAAACTGAATGAAAGAATGAACGAGTGTTGAAATGCAATGGAGCAAAAACGTGACGTACCTGTGTTGTCTCTTGTCCCCCATAGGTTACAAAGGAGGGGGCCGGCCTTTATGTTTCTGCTTACGTGCTACAGTTACGGTATAGGGAGAGATGAACGATTGCAAAGGACGAATGAGGCGAACAATGGCAACGCACGACGCATGTTTGGGACCTACCTTGGTGCCTGGCCAGGACTTGATTGTTTAGATGTGTCAACTCCAAGCGGAGGCCTACAAAGAAAGCGAGGAAAACGGAATGTAAGTGCAAACTGAATGAAAGAAGCAATGTCGACGTACCTGTTTGTTGGTTGTATCAACTCCAATCGGAGGCCTGCAAAGAAAGCGATGCAACGGAATGTTAGTGCAAACTGAATAAAGGAAGCAATGTCGAAATGGAAAACAACTCGAGTGACGTACCTGTTCGTTGGTTGTATCGGCTCCAAGCGGAGGACTGTAAAGGAAGAATCAACGGAAATGTTAGTGCAAAGAAGCAATGTCGAAATGGAAATAGAACAGCGCGAGTGACGTACCTGTTTGTTTGGTTGTATTGTATCGGCTCCCAAGCGGAGGACTGCAAAGGAAAGAGGCAATGGAAATGTTAGTGCAAACTGAAAGAAGCAATGCCGAAATGGAAATGGAAAACAACTCGAGTGACGTACCTGTTTGGTTGTATCGGCTGCAAAGGAAAGAGAATCAATGGGGTTAGGTGAGACAACAACACAGCACAAACATCACATTTCTGTATTTTTCTGGGTTTTGGTGACCAGGTGGTCTTTTTTCGTTTTTGTTTTGTTTTTTGGGTATAGGACGATTTCAAACAGGTTCACTGACACATCTCTGTATATTTGTTGTTGGTTTGGTGACCTGAAGGTCTTCTTTTGCTTTTTTGTTTTGTTTTTGTGGTATAGGACGATTTCAAACAAAGACATGCAACATGAAAAGAATCGGAACTTTTGTGTGTGTGTGAATTGTGTGTGTGACTTGACTTGACTTGACTTGACACTCCATCGAGCTAGCAGAGCTCCTCCATTTTCACCGTCACCCCATCCACCGATAGGATTCGGAACATGGTGTTGGGACGAAAGAGGACTTCTGCTTCATGCTCATGTTTGGAGCTCCCGGAGATGAGTTGACCAGTCTTGCTGACAATCTCAAAGAAAACGCCGTCCCCATTGGCGTTTGCTTTGAAGTTTTTGGCAATGTTGTCATCTGTGGACGTGCTCAGAAAGCCTCGGTCGGCAAAGATGGCGCCTGTTTGCATTTCGTAGCTCCATTCCGCACGCCATTTGGAGCCACGGTAGACTGTTCCTTGATAGACTGGAAGCGTCTTGCGATCGGACAAGCCTCGAAGAAGGTGTTGAATGCGACCTTCGACGTCCTTTTTGTCGGCCTTTCTGGCTCCTTTCTGAAAGGCAACACCAGAATAGTCGGGAGCCACCTTCTTCACGAGGCCCTTCTTGTCGACAGGAACCCAATCGTCGCCCTTTTTGATGCAGTTGACACATCCATCAATGGTCATCTGTCGCAAAGCTGCATTCATGGCTTCGTATCCTTTGCCAGTGTAGTCTTTGAGAGCTGTCTTTTGCGAGTAAATGAACGCTTTGCTTCTTCGCTGTTGGCTAATGCTCACGACGAGCTCCTTGAGGCAGGCATCCCGCTTCTTCAGGAAGGCTTCCCGTAGTTGCTTTGCAGCTTGTTCGCGGCTCTTTTGCAAGAGTTCGGAGAACACAAAAGTCTTTCGAATGCGTGCCAGTTTTTGTTGTTGTGGCTGAAAGAGTGCTTGGTGCAAGGCTGTCTTTGGGATGCGATCGTCAACGACGGGTTGTTGTTGTTGCTGCGGAACTTCCATGGTAATATCAACAGTGTCATCTTCTGTCTGTAGGACGACAGGAGTGGATTGTTGTTGGCTGTTATTGTTGTTGCATGGAAGGCAGGAGGAAGGATCTTGGTGGACGTGTTGATAGCAGTAGCGGCCCATCTTGATGCATCGTTTGCAGTACGTGCCACGGCGCGTAATGCCGAATGTTGGTTGTTGTTGCGTCGTCGTCATTGTCACGGTGGGAGAGACTTGTCGACGGCGGGACATGGAACGGGTAAGAACACCGCCATGGTCAAGCGGAGGAGAAGAGCGTGTCATTGCGCGAGTTGTCATTGTCATTGTCATTGTGATAGAGTTTTCAGTAAAAATTTCAGCAGTAATTCGTTCACAAGTTTTCGGATTCAATAAAGTGAGCTCAGAATGGTGATTCCTCGAGTTGTTCGTTCGTCACGCTCCGTCCGAAATCATCAGCGTGATGAAACGCCACGCTGATATTTCGACCCATCGGTTGCTACCCATCGGTTGCAATCCATCATCGTCCACGGTCGATGGGTATCATCACGATGGGTATCAACAGCAACCGACCGATCCCGTTTTGGAGAGGAACGAAACACCTTCAACGCCTATCAGAGGTCTTGATCATACATTTCCGAGTGTGTTAATAGCGACAGGAGCTTCCATTGCCCCGTCATGGTGGAGGGCGGAGGGTTGCAGCGCAGTGGCCATGGTGGGTGTTGTTGTTTCGGTTGGAGGATCCTACTAAAATCGAATCGTGGACTGTGACGTCTTGCAATCGAGTCCCGTAAAACTAATTTGAGACTGATTTTGGAATTTGGACAGAATTTGAATTCAAATTCAGAATAATCGGAAAATGGAATGATCGGAACTGTCAAATTTACGAAAGCTTCAGAAAGCTGAATAGCTTTAACTCTAAACAGTCTTCAATGTAATGCTTTAGGGCAGGGGTGTTGCTGCGGTCTTCTCACCGATGGGAACCCCGATCTTTGAGAGTTGAGAGGAACAGAGGAACAAAGGAACAAGCATTCCTCCGCTTCTTCGTGTTGGTGTGGTAGTCATCGCAACAATCACATTGTCACATCAACACAACTCTCTATCTATCTATCTATCTATCTATCACCTCTACAACTAATTGATTGATTAATTGATTACCATGACAGACTCTTCTTCATCTCTTGCTGGCAAGCACGTCTATGTGGCCATGTTGACGGCGGGTGGTTTGGCCCCCTGTCTTTCGTCGAGCATTGCGCAGCTTTCCGTGTACTGGATTGCGGCACTCAAAGAAGGCAAGATTTCCGGGTTGACTTTGCGCATGTACCGTGCGGGCTACAAAGGACTCTTGACGGGAGATTCCTTTGTGTTGGACGAAAAGGAATGGGAAGATATTGAATCGCTCAATTTCTTGGGTGGTTCTCCCATTGGCAATTCTCGTGTCAAGTTGACCAACGAAAAAGATTGTATTGCCAAGGGATATGTCAAGGAGGGAGACACGCCACTCGAAGTGGCATCGCAACAACTGCTCAAGGACAAGGTCCATGTCTTGCATACCATTGGTGGAGATGACACCAATACACAGGCCGCGTCTCTCTCCAAATATCTATTTGAAAAACATCACGGAAAGGTCGTTGTCGTGGGAATGCCCAAGACGGTACGTACTAGTAGAGTGTTTCCCATGATGATGAATGGATAATTCATCTATTCGTTCACTCACACAACTAATGAATTGTTTTAGATTGACAATGATGTATACCCCATTGTCCAAACATTTGGTGCCAACACGGCCGCCATTCAAGGCGCCCAATTCTTTGCCAATGTCGTCAATGAAGCCACTGCCAATCCACGCATGCTTGTCTTGCATGAAGTCATGGGACGAGACTCGGGATACCTCACCGCCGCCACGGCCGCCGAGTATCGCAAGATTTTGGCCGCACAAACCTTTCCCGCCTCGACGGCCTTTAAATTCTGTGTTCGAAACAGTCGCGACATTCATGCCATTTGGATTCCCGAAATACAGTTGGATCTGTTGGCCGAAGGAGCGCGGCTCAAGAAATTAATGGATGAATACGGATGTATCAATGTCTTTTTTGGGGAAGGAACGGGTGTGCAAGAAATTGTCAAGGACATGGAGGCCAATGGGGAAGAGGTTCCTCGGTGAGTTCGTTGGTTTTCTGGCAGTTGCACACATACTTTCAAAGCATGCATTCCATCAATCAAATTTCTCACCATTAATTGCTGCCTTCAATGGTTCCACCAACAACAGCGACGCCTTTGGTCACGTTTCCTTGGCCAAGATCAATCCAGGAAAGTACTTTAGTACACATTTGGCCAAAGCGATCGAAGCAGACAAGGTCATTGTGCAAAAGGTAAGTGGGTTAGTTAGGCTACTTGGTTCAGGCATCCTTCTTCTATCCACACTGTCGTATCTGATCGTCCAATGACATCTATCTCCTGCCATTGCTCTTCTTATGACAGTCTGGCTACTTTGCTCGGTCAGCGGCAGCCAATGAATTCGATCGTGATCTCATTGGCAAATGCGCCGAGGTGGGAGTACAGTGTGCCATTGATGGTGTTAGTGGTTGCATGGGACAAGACGAAGATAAGGAAGGGACGCCCATTCGTGCCATTGAGTTTGAACGCATCAAGGGAGGCAAACCATTCGATATCAAACAGGATTGGTTCCAGCAAATGCTCACTGAAATCGGACAAGTGTAAAAAGGCAGTTAGCCAGCCACTGTAGCAGTCAGCTGTAGTCCCACCTTTTTCCATAGCATTCATTCACTCATTCGTCGACTTGACTCTAGCTAGCAGTCACATCTTCGCCAATAGCAGTCCAAGGGAGAGCACATGCTCCTTCCTTCTGCCACGGCTGTTGTGCCTTCGTCCTCGTCTGTAGTTGTTCCGTCAGGTTCTATCCCGGATTGTACATCTTTCTCAATGACACTGGGTTGATGTGCTGAGCCTTCGTCTTCTGCCTCTTCTGCCAAGATGACAAAGTTTGTTCCGCCTAGTTCAGACTCTTGGAACTGGGAAACTTGGAATCCTTCAACTGCCTCTGCTGGCTCTGCATCTGTCTCATTGTCGACAGTCTCGTCAAGTACGACGAATTCGCCAACAGAAAAGAGATCCTCAAAGTTGTTGTCATCGTCTGCGGATTCAAGCGCAGACGCAAGTATGTCTATGCCCTCGATCTCATCTGATGCAGTTGCATTCGTTGAATTCGTTATATTGAGAGCATAGGGAGACAGAATCTCGCATAACTCTCCATAGAAGTCTGATGGGCATGTACATGCGCTGGCTGTATCGGCGGAGCAGAAACCACCATTCAGACAAGTAGAATTGTCACATGGAGGCACCGTCTCGAGGTATACGAGTTCTTCGCAAAAATTGCCAGTATAGAATTCAGGACATACGCAAGCTTGTACGTTACTAATACTGTTCCAGCAGGACATCAGTGCAACAGTGATGAGGAACGAGTCAAGGAATGGAGCTTGATGGAGATTCGGCTTCATAGGGACACACTTACCAGTACCCGTCGTTCTGACAGGTTGAGTTGTTGCATTCCTCACGACCACCCTGGAAAATGCAGGAAAGAGTAGAGGTTGGAGGTCTGCTGCCACGAGGATGAGCGTAAAACGTAGTTTCTTGGACTTACCAAATATGTGATTTCCGTTTCATGAACAATGGGCGCTTCTCTTTTATACTGGCACAGATTTCCGTAGTATAACTCCGACTCGCAACTGACACAGATATCTGCAGGCAGCGTCGGTCAGTACATGTAGCATCATAGGTACACGGACGCGACCACCATACAAACGCGGACAGCAAACTACGTACCAAAGACAGGATCGCACTCGCATCCATTCAACCCCTCTGTCAAATTCTGCCTGGCATTGAATTCTGAGCAGCTGAAGCCATACTCGCAGAGAGAGCCGCCATAACTCTGAATATCAGTGGCGTTGTCGACGCAGTTGCATTCTCCGTCGATACATGTGCCACCATTTAGACATGGGTTGGTGTCATTGTTACAATGAGCGCATATGAAGTTCGCTGACACAAGGTGGTTGATATCCGCATAGGCGCCCACTATAGGCAGACTCTCGTCAATTGTTGCCAAAAGCCAGTGCGCATTTACTGGATCCACATCATGGGACCTCGTCTCGTATTGATATGGAGAACTGAAGAAGAACGGGATGAAATGGGGCAAAGCATCTCCGGAAATGTTGGCGAGTGTCTGCAAGGGGTAGTTGTGTGGATCGTTGGCAATGAGGTAGTCACCAAACTCTTCAAGCGTGAGGTTAGATGATTGCTCTTGGGGGATACCATAGATAATCCAGCGATACCCACTGAACACGATGAATATGTCCAATTTTTTTGTCACAGGATTCAAGGACACATAGATTGGCCGCTCGTACATCGTTTCAACTTGAGGGAGTTCGAAACGCGTGTACTCTCTGCGTGTGAAAAGTTTGGCAAACGGCAACGCTGATACATCCGCCTTGCTTCGCCTGTCCAGTGCCAAATATCGGCACAAATGTTCATCATCTTCGATGAATTCACAGTTCAAACCAATGCGTTCGTCGCCATGGCACACACACCTGTTGTTGGAACATGTACCAACGTCGGGTGCACATATTGTCTCGTCGCAGTCATTGCAATCCACTGCCATGAAATCCATGGGAACATCTCCCATATCGATGTCGAAAGCGTACCACTGTCGATCGGCAATATCCATAATGTCAAATGACGTAGTGGATGAACTCTTGATGAAATAGTTACAGTGATCATTCGTTGCCGTGATGTTTGAGAACGTCCATGCTTGTTCGGCACTGCAATACGCCAATCGAAATGTCTTTGTCGGGTCAACATACACAGCTCTTCCGTCAATACGGTCTTGAAACTTGAGGCTCTCTGCATCAAAGACCCCGCTAAAATAGGGCCACTCTGGTCCCCAAACGTCGCCAAACCTGTGCCAACCAATGGGTGCAACTGTCTGTAAGGCCACAAACACAGATGTCGGCAACAATCACGGATCGAACGATATCACGTTACGTACTGAATATAGAGAGATCCACACATGAAATGTCCATTCCACTGCCAACTGGCAATGATAAAGAAGCAGGTATAGAGGCCCGCTGTCAGTACAATGAGAAAGCCTCGTTTGATCCAATTGTTGCGTCGGCTTTCATGACTCGGAATCAAGATATCTCCGACTCGGTTGCAATCCTTTTGTACGCGTCTTGTCACGAGCCCCATTGCCGCCATTGAAAAAGCCACATCGTCAATGTCTTGTACAAAATGAAGGGCGGCTGTAGGAATGGGATGGAAGAGTGTTCGTGTGAGTACAGTACGGAAAGCATGATCCATGTTTCCAACTCTAATAAAAGGTAACGAAAGGAGCTTACCAAAATTTAAGCATAGCATGATATTGGAAGTAGATTGCATCATGAGAATGAATAGATCCACGGTCAGAAAGATTCCCACGAGTGTTTGACAGATGCCAGCAAAGTACCATTTGGTACCTGCATGTAATTTATATGTGGTGGGACAAAGAAGGAGGCGCACAGTGGGAATGAGAGGTACCATTATTGGTTACCATTTGCTGCTCTGCCTTTTTACTTACGGGTAGCATGTGGATTATTCTCCATAATGGTCCTGCTGTATCCGTGCAATAAATGAGAGAATCCTACGAGAAGATCTCCCTGTCCACAGACAAAGTTGACCGTGAGTATAACTCCAATGAATTGCGCCGCCGTGACCTCCATGGGTGCATCGACAGGAATGAACATCCAGTTGATTTCACCATTGGTCCTCACAGGGTTGGCCGAATCATCCACCAAATCCAGTACTGTAAGAGTTCAAAGATATAATTAGAATAAATAGGAGCAATCCAACAACAACAGGGGTTGGCGGAGCATGCAGGCAGGGGCGGGAGGGTATCTAGGGTATCACAACAAAAAAGTACAGACCACTCACAAACCAGAAGGATCAGACTGAACTGCATGATAAATACTATAGAGGCAAACAGGAACGAAGCCGAGCAAACCTGAGGAAACGCACAAGGTGTGAGACAAGCCATGGTAGCGGTAGGCACTGTGTATAGTGGCTAGCGCGGGAAAAAGTTGCATGTCCCGGCAAAATGCTTGGTGGGGGTAGCTGGGGGTATACTTACGGGAGCTATACTCATGAGAGAATAGATATCCTCAGTCAGAGCAGATTCCATTTCATTCTTATCGACCACAGACTCTTGCTCGGCTTCGTCCTGGCTTTCATTGTAGGGATTGAGGAAGGAATTCTTGATTTGGGTCAACGGGTCGGATGATTCCAAGTCGGACTGCTGATATGCATACAAACGTTGCGGCTTTTCATCGGACGGTTGTTCCAACCCTCCACTCTTATTGGTCATGCTGGTATTCTCAGTCTCAAAGCTGCTTGCCATAGTATTAGGAAGCTTGCCGGATGGAAAGGCACCTGATGGCTGCACCATGGTGGATGCTGCTGTTGTTGGTGGAATGAATGAATGAGTGCGTGCCAGTTCGGGTGGGTCTTTTTACTGCGCAAACTCACTGGCTTATATATTTCTATCTTGGGACCGAACTGAAAAAGCAACAGAAGAAAACCTCCGGCCGAACGAACCAAAACAACACAACTCCATCTCTCTCTCCTTTTGTATCTACCCCAAGTGCCTACAGTCCAGTCCTTTGCTAACTCTCTGCCCGCCCTGCCTGAAGAAGGTTACAGGGCAAAGATGTCCAGCCGCCGATCGATTGACGCCAATGGGAATCTCATCTCTCTCGATGATCCACCCGCCAGTGGCGGAAGCGAAGCACAGAGTCTCCTCCATACGATACAGTCCATGCAAACCGTAGATGTCTTTGGCTTTAATCTGCCGGCCAGACAATTTTGGATTGGATTGGCCGTCGTTATGATATTCATGGGACTTCGATTAGGTGAGTTAGTCTATATAGAGTGGGGAATGGAGTTCTGCTTTTTGTCACGGAACCGCACGAATGACGGAAGCTTTTCTTCTTTCTCACCATGATATTGTTGTTTCTATCTTGTTTTGGGTTGATGGCACCACAGCAATTGGATGTTTAATAGCATTGGGATGCTATACCGCCTACATGAAATCTACAGGTAATGGCAATTCGACAAGTGCTTGGTCTTCTCGAACCACGCGTTGGCGTCCAGGGAATGGCTCTAGTAGTGGTGGCTCTAGTAGTAATATTCGAGGCATATCCGATCTGCCGTGTGATCCCAAAGTGGGATGAGGACCACGGGTGGAACGGGTTTAATAAGCAAAAACCCCGTCTCACCCATACATCCATACACAACACATCCAATGGAAAGAAGAGAAGAGAATCCAATCCAGTGTTTCCTTCTTTTATCCATTTGATGGATGCCAGGTGTCTACAATCTGTTGTATAGGCATGACAAGGACAAGGATGCTACATGGCTCCTCTCCTTGTCTGCCTGGAATGACGTTCCTGTCTACTGGTGATCGCCAGAGCAGGAGCTGAACCAACAACAATTCTCAAACCTGGAAGTGTCTGATTGATCATGGCATTGTTCCCATTGCCGTTGACTGCTTTTATTATTAAGATAGATAACCTTGATAGATGATCCAGCATACCTTCTGGTATGTCATTGCTACTTACTTGTAGATAGATGAGTCTTTCAGAGCGTCTGGCTGGTGATAGCTGGCCATTACTGGTGATAGTCTTCTACCTTTTATAAAAAAGTGAACAAGTGTATTGTCGTTACCGATCATTGGATGGTGGAAGTTGACGCGTCTTGTCTCCCTCCACCGGTTGGGACTCGACATCAATGACGGTGCCATCGCTCCGTTGCCTTTCTCTCTGTCTAGTAGTAGAGGAAGCATAGCTTGTGGGTGGATCCATGACATTGCTTTCCCCATCGTTGACGTTCTGACCATAGATGCCCAGCTGGAGTGTTTTGGCCACACCCGAGGTTGGAAAGAGTGTATCCACCACCCAGCTGCAAACAAACAAGCAAACAAACAAGCAATGATGGGTATTGTGAGTGGAGCTATCTGATGATGCCCAAAGAAGAGACCAATCCCTCCTTCCCCAAGCAATCCAAGCACAACTACAACAAAACAGATGCGTACAGGACGTACCAAATAGTTGCCAATGGCAAAATGTCTGTAAACGGCAATATTTCTTCGGTAAACTCCAAGAGAAAGACCACCTTGCTTCCTGGATAGAGAGACCGCAACAAGAGTGCCGCAATGGGGGCCCACAGCACATCCGTGACTTCACCAATGAGCGGTATGAGTTCCGAGGAGGTTCCAATGCAATCAATGGCAATGCATTGGGCCAACTTTGCCAAATCGGGAGTGATGGTTCTGTTCAGTTTTTAGTACGAGAAAAAGAACGACAGAAAGCATCCACAAAGGGAGGCAAAGATGAGATCTTGTATGTTCTCAGCTACTCCAACCAACCAAACCCCCAAACCATTCATTCATAAAGACAGCTTACACTTCCCCTTGATACTCGGGTGGCGGTTGCTTGAGAGATCCTTTCTGTTGATTATCGACTTGACTCTGGACGGTATCCGAAAGAAACCCCGTGAGTTTGGAGATTTGACTTCCTGCAAAGGTGGTAATGACGCCAAACACTGTGGCCGCCAAGAGTTGACCAATGAGAAGGGATACAAATTGTCGCGAGAGACCATCCCAAAAGGCACCAGAGACCACTACTGGATCCACAATGCTGCTTCCATCAAACACCGGGACATCGGCGAGTAGAAACAACGAATCCATGTCGGCTAGGGGAAGCATTCCCATGGCCGTCGGCGATGCAAATTGTGGCGGTGGTGATTTGGTGGTGGCGATAGCATGATGCCCCCAAGATCTTTGTACCTGAGGAGAAAAACCATTGACCAGCTTCAAGACGGAGACAATTGCGACTGCTACGGCACATTGGAGGCCTCTCATCATCATTGTGTCAGACAAAAGAGAAAGAAAGATGTGGAAGATACTACATGTACCCAAAACCCACGGGAGGCAGAGCGACGAACAAAAATGCCACCCGTCATTTTTTGATCACGATGAGCTGAGAAGACTGACGTCATCGCTCAATTCGGCTCATTTTTCGCATCCAAACCAAAAAACAATCCACCCAACGCCCAACCAAACAGCTCAGTTCCATCAAAGACACACCATGACCAAGATGTTTTATCCAAGGAGGCTGCTAGTATCCCTTATTGCAATCCGTTCTCTTTCGTTTGTTACCATGGCATCTGCCTTTTCGGCTCCCTCTGCAGCCGCTCAAGCGACGGCGATGGAGGATGTGATTCGCAAGTACTTTGACGGTGTCAACAAGAAGGATCCCGAACAAATCAAGAGCTGTTTTGGAGACAAGGCGACCATTCGAGATGTCTGTGGCATTAATGATTCCAAACGAGATGTCGTGGCCCAAGACTTGGCCGATCGCTGTATGGAATTCTTGACGGCACATCCCGATACCAAGGTCAATTTTCATTATGGGTGAGTCAACTGAGTCGAGTCGATGAGTCTCAAGTCGAGTCAGTCCATATAGTTTGTGGGTGTGGGTGTTGTGGGTATGTTGTGGGTGCAGATATGTGTGCAGGTGTGTAGACACTCCAAAGACGAGTTGTTATGGTCTATGACACATCTACCATTGGATCATTATTATCCAAAGAGAGTATCGTTGATTGGAAATTCCAAGTTCTGAGCTCTTGGAATTTTGCAGTCAGCTTCATCAGTGGAGCAAGCTAGGAAAGGCAAAAGATACAAGCCAGATTGTGTTGGGAGGTGTGGGTGTGTTTGTTGTGTGATGTGTGTGTGTAGTGATGTGTGAGAAGTGTGTCTGCCTATACATGTTTCCAAGTTGTGGCTCACACAAGCCTCTCTCTCTCTCTGTGGATACTCACTCTCCTGTTCCTTCCCTTTTGGATGACGAACAGACCCGAGTGTGGAAGAAATTCCCGATGGGTGGTGGCGCATTGGTATGAAACTGGAACATGGAGTGGAGAATCCTGTGGATTGCCACCTAAAAATGAACCCATGCAAGTGGAGGGACAAACACGCTTTTATGTCAATGAAGACTTGAAAATTGTGGACATGGTCGTCACGAGAACCTTTACCAATTGGGAAAATGCCATGCTCCAAAAACGAGCTCAAGAAGAACAACAATAAACAATCCAGTCCACAGCCTGGAAGCAATCAACAGAAGCAAAGCAGGAGGGTACCAATAATGGACTACTATTACCTCATGGCTGAGGAGATGAATGCGTAGCAACATTGCTACGATGCTACAGGCATCTCTTCAGGGAATGAGATTCCCAATGTTTGGTTACGGAAGCATTAGCCGAGAGCATACCGTTAAACTTACTCTAGCTGTTGCTTCTCAACTATGACATACTTGGTGAACGCGGAGTAACCTCTTGGGAAGCCTCTACCTACGCCAGGGATTAAGTAGAGCCTCAACAAGGCTCTCTACTGATGTCTCTCGGCCGTGTGGATTCATTTCCCCATTCTGTCCAGTCTTAGTTGATCACTCTAGGCTACGTTACAAACGACGAGGACATACAAAAAGTACTGTACTATCTTGCTAACGCAATGCAAGGACACGAACGAAGCACAACTCCGTTGTTTCTTCTTCATCCTTCCCGAATGCTTTTTGTCATCAGCCGACTGTTGATGAAGGACAAGCAAACTCTGTCAACAACCAGCCGGGACCGTTCCAGAACTACCAAGAAAAGGGAGTCATACATACTGAACCACCTTTTGCAGAGCTGGCACGTGTATTGCGTCATGGAGTCCCATCCTCCTAAGCAGAACCAAGGTACCAATGATCTGCGACACATGTGGCTATCTAGCTAGTTGGTTGGATGTCAAACTGCAGACTTCTCCATCTGGTCCAATACAAACTATGTTAGCTCTGCTGCTCCACACTGTGAAGGTTTGCCACTGAACCACCTTTGCCGAAAGAAGTGGCAAGACACCCATTAGTTCCATGTCTCCCAACAGCTAGCAACAGCACCGTATACTCGGGACAAGTCTAGAGTTAGCAGTTTACTGTTCTAGTTCTCATGCCGTACATGAATGGTGCGAATGAATTATCCGCTATCAGCGCTTATCTACAAATGCTCCGCATAACACGATTGTCACGGCTGAAAACCAGGCCACAACTCCCTCGATCTGCCAAGACGGGTTGTTTTCACCTTCCACTCTATTCTTGCGTTTGTGGATTATGTTGTGCTCAGCGTGTGAATACTCGTTGTACATGGAGTCGCGTCTTGTTCTGCACCAGCAAGGTTCCCAAGACTCCAAGTGCCTCCTTGTCTCATAGCAGTTTGCGCCTTCCTCGCCCAGGGCTTTCTCTAAGGCTCTGTTGCGTATTGCGGACCACCGGTAGCACCCCTTGATCCTTTCTTGCCGCGCGCTAGTGGAGGACCCTGACCCTCACCTGGGCCCGAACTCACACCCTTTGGACCTTTTCTTCCCTTTCGGACAAGTGGCTCGCCCTGGCCACCCGCATATGGTGTGTCCAAATCATCCTCATCGTCCACAGGAACTATTCCTTCGTCCCCGTACCGACCATCCGGCACTTCTGGTACACCAGGAGCATCGACAGGAAGTTTGTCCATATCAGCGCAATCCGGGTTGGACAAGTCACACTTTTGCATGCTTTCATAGGTTGGAGCAGGAGTAACAGGAGCGTCAGAGGGTTCCAGTGACGGAGCTCCGGAGGGTACCAGTGAGAGTGTTGGAGCTTGTGTAGGCAGCTGGGAAGGAACCAAAGAGGGAGCCCCTGTACAACCCCCCGTAGCCATGTTGCAAACTACTCCTTCGCCACCGTTACCTCCGGCTGGCTTAACACCCACAGTATTCTGGGCTTGTTTGTCGTCACAACCTTCCCCCTCAAGCTCACATGGGGACTTTAGGTTGGACGAGAAGTAAGGTATGTGAGAATAGGAATTCGCAAGTGGGATCAGGCTGACAGGACGGTAAACTGACTTACTGGTTTCACCTCACAAGTGTCGGTTGCTCCATCACACCAGAGTCCATCGGCGCATGGAACGTAGGTATCGCAGGTTCCTCCGACGCCAACGGCATTCTTGCAGGTTTGAGAGTCCAGGTCACAATGCAGACCATTGATGCAGGTCCGAGAGAGATGGCAAGTTCCACCCAGGCCTGATGGTCCTCGGCAGATCATGCTTGTCAAGTCACAATTCAACCCAGCGACACAACTCTCGGTAAGCGAACATGACTGATTCTCTAGACTCGGATAACGACAACTCTGGGTAGAGACTTGGCATTCCAGTCCCACTCCACAAGGGCGCGAAGAATGACAGTACTGGTTGAGGGCTCCAGGCAGCATGCATTTGTTTTCTCGAAAGTCGCAGCTCAGGCTAGTGCCGGCAGCACAAGGCCTTGAAAAGTTGCAACGATCACCCTGAGCAGTTCCCATTGCGCGGCACTCCATGTCTGTTACATCGCAAGTGAGACCACTGGCGCATTGTGCCATCCACGGAAGGCAAGGATCCCCGTCTTGCCGAGGGTATCGGTGGCACTCGCCGTCAATATGACAGGAAAACCCACTGCAGCATGCGTTGGTCAAGAAGGTACATCTATCTCTATTCCCTCCACAGCCCTGTACCTGTCTTAGTCCTTGGTCCTGATTATCTGGATCTCCGACCCGAGCTGATGCCAGTGAGGCCGTCGATGCCAAGATCAGTTTCAGCAGGGTAATCTTCATCTTGATTGATTCGACTTTGTAGACTCGACTCACTCTGCTCTCTTTGGAAAACCTTCTATGGCAATCTTTCGAGCTGCAATGCCACCGATACCTTTGCGTTTCGCCGAAATAAACGACCAGTAGGATAGGAATGGCACATGGTTGGCTGTGTTTTGGTGATACGTTGCGACCACGGAAAACCAAAAAAATCAGGTGCGCCCCGGTGAGTTGGTGGCCTGAAATTTTAAAACAAGGGATGTCACCCTCCTCGTGGGAAGAAGAGGCCTTAAGCCTCCAAGTCATCAGCATGTGTCAGCTCATAAATCTGATTATTCAATAGCATGAATCAGTGTCACTATAGACGTGAGTCGGATGAACCAGCATTCTTTGGGGAGCAGTGAGGCAGCTATCCGAATCATGTAGCTTCAGGGGATTTCAGCCTTCAGAACACAGGTGCTTTCTTTATCACAGCCGAGGGAACCTGCAGCTTACACGAACGAAGGTACCGGTACTGTACACAGAGTAGTTGAGTTACTCGGAATACTGCTGCCATTGGTTGAGGGAACATCGGCTAGAAACATCTGCAAACTTTTGTTTGGGATGACTATTGGTTTCTACACATCTGCAAACTTTTGGTTAGGATGACGTTTGGTTTCTACATAGCTAAATCTAAGACTTCGCCTCTGGGTATAAGAAGATCTTCGCAGGAGACGGGCGTGATGGGAAGACAGTCGGATCAGATCAACAATTTTCGGCGTCTTTCTCTCCGGTGCATGTAGAATGTCAAGGCAATGAGCAAGATCGATCACTACGTAAACCTAAAGTCTTTCGTAGTTGCTTCAGTCCAGGGAGGAGCTGTGACGAGTGACGAATCCCCGCTGCTTTTCTGCCAGCGGACGCCTCAGCTCTTAAAGTACGGTACAAAACCCGTCATCATTGTCTAGGTCGACAAGAAGTGCGTCTTAGCTGGATCTATCTCTCTGTCAGTGATTAACACTGCAGCATTCCAGCCCCCCTCCTGCCCCTAGCTCATGTCATGATTGAGGCACTTCGTACATGTACCTTACGCATTGATTGCAACTGGAAGAGGTCCAGGTGCCAGTGACTGCATATTGTGCTGTAGCGACCCGCAAGATCCCCGTGACGAACTAGGGAAGAGGCTCCGAATACAGTTGGCCAAAGGATCCGATCATCGAGAAGTAAGCCCATTAGTTCAGGTGAATTGGATTTGCATTCCTGGATTCATCCTTGCGAGCAGGTCTTCCTAGTAGCCAACAATGTGCGTTTCCTTGTGGTTTCAATTCCCAACGTGACGTACGGTACAGCTCGATCCATTTGATCTCCTTGATCCTTGATGCCGGTAGCTGGAATAGGTTGCAGTTCCTGTAAGTTGGACTTCCAAATACTGTATCAACATAGTCAAAGCCAGGATGCTTGTTCCCGTGGATGCTTGTTCCAAAGACTCTTCTTCAACAGACAGGTGTAAACTGTACGATTCCTGAGTGTCTTGGGTAACAACGAGGAAGTTGCCATTATCCACAGTCGCATCAAAGGCGAATACGTGGTGGGATGTAACTGCCTCTGGAACGTACAACAGCTTCTGCTCTAGATTGTCGGGACATCCTTTCCACACCTACTGGATTCCAAATGGATGGTGTTGACGACCCAACCGAAAACAAACAAATGAAGAACCACCCGGTTAACTTCTTCTGGTTGGGGCTGAACACTCGGAGTGCATTCCTCGCAGCCGAAAAATAATTCCGGCAAGACACTCTGGCTCGACACTACCGCACGAGAGGAATACGAGGGGTTTGCTGCAACTTGATGGTTACAATTAACCGAGCTTCCCAACAAAGCAGGCTCTTGAAGCAGAACGAAAAGCCGCCACCGCGATGAGCAAACGTCCTTCCAACCGAGCTCAGCTTCGAATCCAAGGTCTTTCAAGCAGGACGAGAAGCTGCCCCGTCGGTACTCCTGAACCATACGGCATCCATCACACAATGTACTCATTTTACTTGTTGCGTCTCATCGATGCATGGTAGTGGAGATTGTTTGTTGGAGAGTGTCGTAGCAGCCTTGGAGTTTGAAACAAAAATAACTGGAGCGGGTTGTGGATTGATTTCAGTGACAAGACCAAGACAGTGTAACAATTGTTGTTTTTAACGCAATGATTATAGGTGTGTGTGTGAAGTAGGGTGGCTCTGATGTTCTTCTTGTTCTTGGCACAGAAACTTCCTTTTGTTTCTTCTTACACAGTAAACAATTAATGTAGATGCTTGTATTTCTTTTTTGTGGTTTTCTTGTTTTTCTGGTTATACAAAAGACTCACAGTCTCTTATTCAACTCCAGTCTTTTAGTTGCGTCCTCCTCGTCCACCGCGTCCGCCACGCCCTCCACCACGGCGGCTATTGTTATTATTGTTGTTGCTGTTGTTAGTGTTGCGCCCCCGGTTGTTGTTGCTGTTGTTTCCTCCTCCTCGTCCACCTCCAGTGTTGGCATTGCGTCCCCTGGCGGGTGTATTGGCCTGTTTTGTTGGAGAATTATTATTGGCTGGTTGTTTTTCTTCAATGCGAATGACCACTTGAGCGCCCCTTGGAATATCAAAACCATTGGCTCGAAACGCTTGTACAGCCGCATTGACAGCCTTCTTGGTCGGCGCCGCGCCGGTTTGTGGCACACTCACAGTCGCCGTTCGAGTCTTGACTTCTTGCATTTTCTTGTTGGCTTTCTTGTTGGCTTGCGGCGCTTTGACACCGACCGCTTTGGCGGCTTTGCGCTGTCGTCGATTGGTGGCGGCGGCAGCGACTCGTCCTCCTCCCTTTTTTTGTTCTTGACGTGCTTTCGTGACGTTCGAGCGAGCGACTTGGGTCTTGACTTCTTTTTCAATTTCCATCTTGGTGGGCTTTTTGGTCGTTGTCATTTGTCGACGGGCATTCACCGCCGCCGTTCGCTTGGCACGACCCGTGGCAACGCTTCGGTCGGCGGTCGACACGCGATTGCTGCGGCGGGCACCACGCACTGTTTCCTTGCGGCGACTGGCAATCATGTCGTCTATAAAAAGAGGAGGGACATGCTGATGAGATGAGAGAATGACTTTTTTTGGGTGTTTTCTTCCGCAAAAAAGAAAATCAGAACTCGTTTCTTCTTTTATGGTTGTGTGCTTTGCTTACCCAAACTCATGTTCATGGTCGACTTGGACTCTCCTCCCGTCACATTGCTTCCAATCGAGAATGCGGCTCCTCCTCCAACGTTGGGCACTAGCAGAGTCATCTTGGTATTTCTTTTAGAAAGGTTAGTTGGTCTTGGTCTGACTTTTTATTTTCTCAGTGGTTGGTTTTGTGGAATTTATGTTGCTCAAGGGAAGCCTCTTCCTTTTGCTTTCTCACTTGCTTCACTGGGTGCGTGGATCTTGGGTGGTTCTTTCGGCGAGGGAAAGATTGAACGTGACCGGCGAAGAGCACTACCGAATGACCCTCTCAAAATAGTCATTCCATTGGGGTTGGGGTTTACTTGGCCGTTTGTGCAAGCTAACGGGCCATGGGAGTTTAAATTTTAAATGTTGAGATTTAGGACGACAATTTCATTTGTGCTGCGGCACTCCACATTTTCGCGTTCGTCGTTCATAGAGTCGAGTCTACGGTAGTATTGAATTCATTCATTCGGAACAGATATAGCCAACCATGACAATGATGAAGGCAATTCTCTATCTAACCTTGCTGCAATGGATTGCGTGTCTCTGTACGGCGGACCATGACTATGAAGCCACCAGTGCGACTCACCCCCCTCCATCCAACAACAACAACCTTCGCACGATGACCATGCCAAGACGAAAAAAAGGATCCCGCAAGTCATCATCCTCTCGTCGTATGGAAATGCTTCCTTCATCGTCATCCAAGGAAGCCACTAACAACAGTAAGCGCAGTGGCAATCAAATGACTTCTTCTAATGCTGCACGAGTGCGAGGTACTTCTTCCAACAGTTTGGGCATGATGTCATCCAGAAGCAACAAATCGTCGCGACAAAAAATGGACATGGCCACTCGAACCGTCATGGGTATGCTACCCAATCATGATAATGACAACAACTACATTCAAAGCGAACGACTGCTACAGATTCGGGATCAACTCATCAAGCAAAACGCCAAGAACGAAGAAGCCAAGGACGGCGAAGACGAAGACGAACGGGTGGGATTTGGATTCTTTGGTCTGGGCAATAGTGGATATGATGGCACCATTGCCGATACCGCCGTGGATGAAGAGTTTGAAGCCTGTCTCAGGAATGGAGCTGGGTTCAACACCCGAGGAGGAGGAGGAGGAAGAAACAAGGGAAACAACCGCGCTCGTCGAGGCAATCGCCCCACGGGTCGACTGGGATTCTTTACCAGCAAGAGTGCGAGTGGCTCTGGAAGTGGCTCTGGAAGTGGATCCAGTAGCGGCAGTGGTTCGGGAAGTGGTTCTGGAAGCATGATGGGCAAGAGTGGTAGTGGATCCGGTAGTGGAAGTGGAAGTGGCAGCGGCAGCGGCATGAGCGGCAAATCCAGAAGCAAGAGCAAGGGTTCTGGAAGCTTTTCCGGCGGTAGCTTTCGAAGTGGAAATAATAATGCTCGTAACAACAACGGGATGATGAAATACAGTGCCAGTAGAAAACGGGAATGTCGGCTCGAACGTCGTCAAAGAAACCGAGCAAAGAACATGATGAACAACAACAACCGACAAAACAGACTTGCCGACTACATTGTGGAATTGGATCAAAAAGTGGATCAATACTTTACGTCTGCCGATGCCAAAACGGCAAAACAAGCCTTTCATCTTCGATGGCCTCATCAATTTCATGAAAAGGATGGTACTCCCAAACAGCACCATCAGCACTAACCCACGTGCTCCCTCTACCGGTATGCATTTGCATCCAATGGTGATGCTGTTTCTTGTTGGCCCATCAGCCAGCTGTGACAGACTGAATGAATAAGAAGTATGTGCTACTCGTTGACCTTGGGTCAGCTGTGAGTCGTTCTATGATACTCAATATCAAGTTGTCTGATCTATACTATACTATTGGAGTGCTGTACTAACGATTTCGTCCCAAAAGATTGATTGAGTGTGGACAAACATGGCAATCTTGTGAAGCTTTTTGTAATGACGACGCAATGGTCTCTTGTACTCCTGGCTAATTAGATCTAGTAGTTAATGACAAAGGATACTGCTTGAATACTACCGGTACTCTCTACCCCTGATGTTAGTAGTAGAACTACCCGTAGCGATGCATTCGACTCGACTCTTTCGCTGGAATCGAATCGCTCTACACTAATGTAATACAAAAGAGTATTTTCCTCTGATACCGGTACCCCACGGCAGCTAGACTTTTCCAACAGAGTGTAAGTACATGTATGTATTACTATACCTGGGGTCCGTGCCATTGGCTGGCTTGGTTGTAGCCACCGGAGTCGGTACTACCTTGGTGGCATTGGCAATCTTCGTTTCCCAAAAAGGAACCGTATCATCACTCTAGCTAGACTGTAGTAGAGACCTATCACCGTCTTCCATCCAGCCTTCCGTTGCTTCGCCCCAGTAGAGCTCCCATAGCAATCAGATACAGTACTGTAACTACCGGAGCTAGACTACCGTTCGAACCTTCACGTCCTGGATTGAACATCCACGCGTCACCTCTGCTACTAGTCACGGTGGCAGCAACGGTCTCTTGGATTCGAAAAATCCTTGACACCCATTCGTGCTTTAACGTAATCTTCCGGCAGTGGTTGGAGCGTTAGCAATAGCAGCACACTTAGACCTCCTCATGGTTACTTAATGCATCACGCTGTTAACAACACAAATTTAAATTTGACTGGGAATCACCTCTCGTCGAGATAACAAACCCGACGCTTCCGTTGCCTGCCAATGGATTCCAAGTTCAAATTTAAACTCAGGTTTTCATGCAGTGCTGTGGACCTTTTCCCACCACGACGTATTCCTCTCACAATTCTAAGTTTCGGCAACAGAAACGCAGCTGATTATCTTTGCTGTAACTGCGCTTCTCTCTTCTCTCTCGTCTCGAAGCTTGTTGTTATCATCGAAAAAGATGGCACGCAGTCGAGTGTCTACGTTCTTCCTCTGCCTCCTCGTGTGGTTGCCTTGTGCTGTTATCTCGCAAGTGCAATCGACGGGAGCGCAATTGACACCACTTGATGAATCCAACAGGCGTCACCTTCGTGTCAGCACCTCCGACGGTGCCGCGGTACCCGCCGCCGAGTCTCTCGAGCCCGCGTTAACCCTGGAGCAACGCCAAGACCTTGCCGACCAACTTCAAAGGCAACTTGGCAAAAGGCGAGGCGGTGGTCGTCGTCGTCGTGGTGGCGGTCGTCGTCGACGCAGGCGAAACAACAAGAAGCATTACTCGAAGAAAGCCCATGTTGTTCACTACCACAAGAAGAAGGCCTTGGGTTCACACGGAGGAGGCAGTGCTCATTACCAAAAGAAGCATTATGGTGGATCTGGAAGTGCCCACTACAAGAAGAAGGCCTTAGGTTCAGCTGGATATGGCTCTGGTGGTGGAGGCAGTGCTCATTACCACAAGAAAAAGCACTATGGATCTGGATCTGGCAGTGTCCATTACAAGAAGAAGGCTCTGGGATCTGCTGGATATGGTTCTGGTGGTGGTGGAGGCAGTGGTCACTACCACAAGAAGAAGGCCTTGGGTTCAGCTGGATATGGCTCTGGTGGTGGAGGCAGTGCTCACTACCACAAG